CTTCCTCCCTGTGACCACGGGTTTTCTAGTATTATATAATATGCTGTATGCACTATAATATAAATAGGGTATATATTATATATTATCACACTTTCGAGCCAAATTTGGCAGGAAAGCAGAATTGATATTACATGCCCCGATAGGGAGCACTGGCTCTCACCCGGGGGCATGAAATATCAATCAGTTGCTCAGAGAGAGTCCGATATTCCCATAGGAACAAGGAGCCCACTCTCAACAACTGTTCTACTACTGTGAGGTACTGATTTAAATAAAGATTTAAATCAATAACCTGAAGTAGTCTATGACCGTAAATGCAATGATCAGATAAGCTTTGCAGATTTAGGAAAAATATATATTTATACCTTGTTTTAAAAACATTTCCTTGCGTTTGAGATGTGTTAAGCAAAATACAATTTTTTGTTGTAAAACTTTTTCAAGCTGTTGCTTTTTTACTGCACTTCATAGTTCAAAACCTAATTAGGCTTCGGATGATGAAACAAAGTAAAAACTCCCTGGTTTGTACGAGTTTCAAGCGACTTAAGGTTACTGAAAACGAGATCAAAGTTTACAAGCAGACTTGAAAGTTGCACAACGTTTTGGTACTTGTCAGCGATACAATCAATCAGGCTTATTAATTTCCTTAATCGCTTACTTGAAATTAAAAAGGAAGTGTCAGAACAAACTACAGTCACCCTCACAAAAAGTAGTAGACACAGAAACGATGTTTGATCTATTCGAGGGAAGAAAACACACAAAACAAAGCCAGATTTCAGCCATTTCAGACCTGAATTTTAACCCCCTCTGATCCCTTCTTTGAGCCATATTCCATATAGAAATTGTGCAGAAATTATACTTGGCTTTTCCATTTTCCAAACCGGTTTCGCCTAGATTAGCTTGCGAAATTCGTGGCTGATCTATAAACAGACTGATAAAGAGACTTATAGATTCTGTACAATAAAGAGCGAAAATTCTATCCCAGGACTAGTTTTAACTGAATTTTAGTTAGTGCAAATAAGTGCAATAAAAACATCCTATAAAATATATTATCTATATAAATATATCAAGGGACGAATGACGTAACTTAATCAGCTAATCTAGTTGTAAATTAGTCTGGGCACTGGGGCAAACAGGTCCGATGATTAATGTGCTGCCATTCTTTAGACAATTCAATATTGGTAACAGTACGGGTGAACTACCTGGCCATGACCAGGGTGGTTATAGGCTGGTGGAGTACTGCGTTCTAAAATGTTGAAGAGATACATTTGAATATTACAAATGTTCTGATAATTTCCAGTTCAGATAATTTCTAGCTCGAAGCAGATAATGGCAAATAATGGCAAGTAAAGATGGATACTGACTAAGAACTAAGCAGAATACTCGATAAAATTCTAAGTCAACGATAACAAGTTGCATTAAATCATTCTGAAATAACAGACAATCAAGAATCAAGACGGACGATAATATTGTTGATGTAAATTAGGGTGTGCAGTGTATAATGTGGACTGATAAATAGACAATCATGGCGCCACAGCTCTATACTATTAAAATTTAACAACCAGGAAATTCTTTCACCTTATCGCAGATACAGATTATACGATAAGGACTGTGATGTATAATCAACACTTAAACGGATGTTCTATACATTATACATCTACAGTTTTAATGACTCTAAAAATATCTAATAGAAATAAAGTATTAGAATCACCTCACATCGATTGATTTGCAGGATGTAATTACGTATCAAACGCGCTCGCGGCGGAATATTCTAGACTCATAAGTACAAGACCCATAGGCGGAAAACACATTAATATCGCATGCACTAGGTAGCAGTACAAAGCAAATTTAGCGCGGCACACAGCATTCACTGTGTCATAAATGTGAAACGCGAGATTCTAATTTCACATATTGTATCTTTAATATCTGAAATACTAACTTATCGAGAGCTATAAATAGCTTGGACATTATAAACATAAATAAGTTCGACATGTCTATAGTTTTGCTTTGGTGAGATTTATAACTAACGTTTGATCAAATTCTGCTTTCCAGGCCAAATATGGCTCCAAATAATGGCAAATAATGGCAAATATGGCAAGTAAAGATGTATACTGACTAAGAACTAAGCAGAATACTTGATAAAATTCTAAGTCAACGATTACAAGTTGCATTGATTAAATCATTCTGAAATAACAGACAATCAAGAATCAAGACGGACGATAATATTGTTGATGTAAATTAGGGTGTGCAGTGTATAATGTGGACTGATAAATAGACAATCATGGCGCCACAGCTCTATACTATTAAAATTTAACAACCAGGAAATTCTTTCACCTTATCGCAGATACAGATTATACGATAAGGACTGTGATGTATAATCAACACTTAAACGGATGTTCTATACATTATACATCTACAGTTTTAATGACTCTAAAAATATCTAATAGAAATAAAGTATTAGAATCACCTCACATCGATTGATTTGCAGGATGTAATTACGTATCAAACGCGCTCGCGGCGGAATATTCTAGACTCATAAGTACAAGACCCATAGGCGGAAAACACATTAATATCGCATGCACTAGGTAGCAGTACAAAGCAAATTCAGCGCGGCACACAGCATTCACTGTGTCATAAATGTGAAACGCGAGATTCTAATTTTGACGTATTGTATCTTTAATATCTGAAATACTAACTTATCGAGAGCTATATATAGCTTGGACATTATAAACATAAATAAGTTAGACATGTCTAGTTTTGCTTTGGTGAGATTTATAACTAACGTTTGATCAAATTCTGCTTTCCCGGCCAAATTTGGCTCCAAAGAAAGTGTGATAAAACATTAATCACATGCCTTCTCATGCGATATCAACATTTTCAAAACTCGGCAAGCCTCGTGATTGAAAATGTCGATATAACCCTCGGCAAGCCTCGGGAAATATCGAAACTTTCGCTAACTCGGCAAGCCTCGTGGGCGAAAGTTTTGATATCGCATGAGAAGGCATGTGATAAATGTATAATATGCACTATAGGGTATATATTATATAATATGTGCCACTATATTATATAATATGCACTATAATATGATATAATATGCACTATTTTCTGCTCTATCCGCCTACCCCTGTCACATAATCAAATGTTTCAGATGACCAACAATGAACGGTCAATAGCTCCGGATGTATTCGGGGTCCAATGTAATTTTCAATTGTTAAAAAAGTCACGTGTTCACTCATTTAACACTATGAAAAGACTGACTAATTTCATTCCGGAAATCCGCAAATCTAGAGCGCATTCTCACGCTCTAGTTTTATTAGATTACACCGATTGCTGGGCTGACTGACAACAGTACAGTTTACTTTCATCACCATCAGAGCAGCGACTGTTTCAGTCGTGATCAGATAAAGATAGAAACCAGAAAGTAAGATTTAACAAGAATTGCGCCCGTTGTTTCGTTTTGGCGGACGCTAGATTTCCATTTCACATTTACTATAAATTTAAGTATAAGCTCCAATCAGCTCACTTCAGACTCAGTCTTCATGATAATAATATTGATAAATTATGCATTAAGTACAGGAAAAACTTGAAATTCAGTTCAATTGCCAAAGAACTTAACTTGTAAAGCAAAGAACTTAAATTGTAAGCAAAGGTAAACTATACTCGAGTACACATCAATATACACTACGCGTGCCACGTACAAATTGGGCATATAACCTAATATTATACATTATATCGTATACATTATAACACAGTTGCGCCGCGCATTCATAGATCACAGGCTATCTATACATCACATCTCCGCAAGCAATCCTCGCGCGCGCAACTTTTTCGTTGCATGGTTACTAACGGAAGGAACACGACATACTCAAACCCACCTACGTACTGCAATCTCCAAAATCCACGTTTTTCTGCAAAAACGTCCATTCGTAACCTTTCACTATTGCCTTTTTTCAAAAGGGTGAAAAGGAAAAAATAAACTCTCCCGAGAGGGAGGATCATGGAGCTGTTGACAGAAAAATAAGTAGGAAGTGTCAAAACGTAATAAACACTCCGGTCTGTCAGTGTAATGACACTGTAATCTATTGATCACCTTGTAATCCACCTCCTCCAAATCCTCCTCTTCCTCCTCCTCCTCTTCCTCCTCCTCCTCTTCCTCCTCCTCACACACACCCTCCTCTTCTTCCTCCTCCTTCTCCTCCTCATCCTCCTCCTCCTCTTCCTCCTCCCTCTCAGCTCCTCCTCCTCCTCCTTCCCCTCTTCCTCTTCCTTCTCCTCCTCTTCCTCTTCCTCCCCTCCCCTCCCCCTCCTCCTCCTCCCCCTCCCACTCCTCCTCCTCTTCCTCCTCCCCCCTCCTCCTTCTCCTCCTCCTCCCCTCCTTCTCCTCCTCGTCTACCCCTGTTACACCCTGGCTGTTGCCCAATTTTACTGGACATTGGATATGTAATTTGTTACGGTTATTGTGGGCTAATTATGGGTTGATATGTAATTGTTTGGTAATTTGAAAATTGCAATCGTGTTCTAGAACTTTTATTGTACGATGAGAATATATATCATTATCTCAGACAATGTAGTTGTGGGCGTGCAATGTATTGCGATCATTCTACTGTATTATACTAGCGGTTCATGTGGCCAAATGTATTTTAGCCAGCGGTGAGCACATTTGATAGAATAATAGTGGAATATGACGAATTGGAATATGACGAATTGGATTATCACGTATTTTAAGTAATCTTATGAAATGTGAATTATGATATACCCGACGCGAGGGTAAATGTTATTATGAACATACCTGGACAAGCTGTCACAATATTTATCACAAGTTACCCTAATGGGCTGTATTTAAGTGAACATAATATATTATGTGCAGTATTCTGCCGAATCTTTATAGTGTACGTAATAAAGATTGCGGTATGGGGAAGTAGTAAAGAAAGCGTTTAGATTAAGTTTACTTCCACTGCAACTGTCATACATAATGAATTTACCTTGATAATACATCTTGTTTTCAGGCCCAGATATCGTTCCTGCAAGGAGAAAGGGAAGGTCACCAGAACATGATGCAGTGTCTAGTAAAACGTATCAAGATGTTAGAAAACGCTCTAAGACAAGAGAGGTGAGTAAATTAGTTAAATCAGTATTACTTTTAATTTACTAATTTACCTGGAATAAACCACCTTTGGTATCAAGGTATCACTGGATATGATTAGTGGATCTATGTTGACCGATTATGCCATATTATGCGATCTGTGATTCAAAGACTTTGGACCTTGATCTGTATCATGATTCAATAATCACCGTACGTGCTCGTTTCAATACATGATAATAGTCCTTCCCGCTCCGTTGGGTGTACAGACTTCATTATAATCAGAAAAACTTACATTGTAAATTCATGATGATCGAGTGGATCGAATAAATTTTTTAAATATTATCGACATCGGTTGATATATGAACTAAAAGAAGCTAGATTCGAAACAATTCCCAGGGTATGAACTTAACCCATTGGTATTTACAATAACTGAACTTATTACTTTTAACATAATTTGTAGGTCATATTTTTAGAAACATGTGCTCCACAATGATGGTTAGTAAAGTAACATATTTGCGTGAGTTTACAGTTTATTACGCAGTTAGGGCACTACATATAGTGCAGTTAGGCAGTATAGGCACCTGCTAATGTGTGTACACCACCAACATGGACACGCAACAGTGACCTACAGAAAGAGCTTTTGATTGAGAACTATTATCAGTGTAACGGAATGGCCGGTTACTATGAGTATCATAGCTCACTGAATTATACTCATTAAATGAAGACTCTACAGTAGATAGAGTGATAACAGCATACTCCTCCCACACTCTGCAGTAGTAATAACAGCAGAGTAACACAATATTCGAGTACTCTTTGTCGGGGACTGCTTTCGCGTGCCAAGTGTGTTTCACTATCGCTTGGTTTTACTAGTGTGTGGGGCTAGAATGGATTATACTGGTTTCGCTAGTCAGTTCATCTACATTATGTCACATTAGTTTCGTTGAGCTCACACAGGCCACAGGGCCATGACATCGTATGACAGAGAAGATTTCTCTCTACTATTCCTCCAGCGAAGCAGCGAGTTTGATTTCTGATTGGAGTTCTTAAAGACCACTCAAAAACCTGGAATTTTTAGCACTTTTGACAAATTTTGGCATTTTAGGCGGTTCCAGAAGGGGGTTTCTGGGGACTAGCGATTGTTTTCATTGTTTTCAATGGATAGCTCTTGACCCAAAAAAAAATTGGGGTCAAAGAATTCAGAATTTCAAAAATGGTCAGAAAACGGCAGATCAGGCAGTGCAACATGAACTGGGTGATATGTGATTAGAAATACACCTGGTCACTGAGTTGATGGAATAAAAATGGTAAGACATTGCGTTCTATAATTTGGGGAGTTGGGGCCGTTGACCGCTAGAAAGTATCATACTGTAGCTGGCTTGCTGCTCATCCGTGTTAACATACAGATGAAATGACTCCAACCCTTCCAAAACGTAGCTTGGACACCAATTTCACGTTGATATAATCTGATCCATGACTCAGCTTACCTTATCCACTTATAGTGCCTTGTCATCCTCAATATACTATTGCTCCACTTAATTTTAATGTCCATTTTGTAAGTGATGTACTGAAGGATGAAAGTGTAAAATCTAATCAAATCAATCTCTGACTATCAGTATTAATCGGTACATAATAAGCAAAATTGGTGCCTAAATCGGTATACATTCTATTGAAAAGCTAAAAAGATGTATATATTTATATCTAGGGTAATAATTATTCATAGGGCGCTTTTTAATAATCTTGACGGAGCGTCGCAATGAAGTATGAAATCTTTGGTTGGAAGCGTAGGTTTTAGAGCCTTGAGATTACAAATATATAGCAAATATTGGTTCTAACTATTTATAGAAAACTTCAGTCCTTAAATACCAAATTACGGGAGTGCTTTTTTACAGACGACGAGCAGTTAATCATTGGCAATTCCTGCAGTTCCGTTACAATTTGTATTAAATCATTACAAAATGGTTGACACTAGATTGTACGATACAAGGTCATGCACATTTTTTGTAGGATCATTATTATAATAAGTTACTTTAATTTTATGTACTAAAATGTTATATAAAATTAACGAAGCCACTTCTTAAAAAACTATATTTGCGGTTAATATTTTCAACGACCAGATGCAGACAGTGCAGTGATGATACATTCCATCTTAATTATTTGATCCAGTGTCGTTAAGTCTAATTGACAGAATTGCAAGACGATGAGTCACGGAATTTTCACCGGAAGATGTGCCGATTTACAAAAGATCGTACAATCCATATAAGGCGAGTTATGCGTCCCATTTTGTAGCAAATTGGTGGTTAAGCTTGCTTCATCAAGTAGTATGAGTGTTTAGTATTGATGGTCAGATCATCCACGTCAGGATCGTTTTGGCGATTTGTGGTATAAAACCAAAGTAAGGGAATAGGTCTAGGCGAGCGTTATACCTGTATTTTTACGGAAGGCAATGTGTATGCAAGACTTGTATACAAATTGTGTGCGTGTGACAAATTCATGACAAGAACGTGACCAGATTAGAGTTAGGTTTTGGGCTTGATTTGGCGATATCTATTCATTGTGAACAATTTTACGGATTCATCTTCAGATTATGGAGCGCGCGAAATAGTTTTCGTTATACCAAATTGTACATTTTATGGCGGCGCGCTATGGCCTGCGCGCATTTCTACGGTTTGCTTGTAGTGCGCGGCGGGATTTCCTCTGCCTAATAACGGCGGGCACTCCTACCGCTCTTCCTGAATCTTGATGAAAGCTAATATAATAAGATTTCAATTCACTTGGCTTTGTTCACTTTAAAGATTTCGATCCGCCGATCAGTACTGGCAGTAGATTTGCTTTCGCCCACATTATTTCTGCTCAAAATGTAATGATTTAGTTTTTCTTTTCCCAATTTTTATCTTCACCTTTATCTTAACAGGTTAGGCAAAAGCGAAGGTCCGAAGGTTAACGGAGAAATGGGTTGTTCCGAAATGTTCGGTGAGGACGAAGTTGACGGATACCTCGATCCACCCAAACCCCCTGTTAACGAGCAAGTCAAGAAAGGTCGCCTACTTTTGAAACAGTAAGTTAAAACGTCTTGCAGCTGCATGTATCATTACTTCTTACATTACGTGCGACGAATATAGATTTATCTTCGTACATGTATGTTTTCTCATTCGCAACAATCTCGAGCCAGGCCACATGCAAGCTCGGCACTGCTATCGTTTATGAAAGTAATTTTTCGGACTGGAAATGCTATTTAATCTCAGTACATCGTGAGACCTCTATGATTCTTCTTAAAATTGTGCTCTCATTTCAGATACTTGACCGAAGTAGGATCAACAGAGCAGCTGTTGAATGCCCGAACTGCCCGACTGCAGATAATGCAGAGTTTAGCAAACAGCGATATGATGCCCACATTCCATAAAGCGCCCGTAACCGATCAGAGTACCAGTCCAGGGCCTGACGACAGACTTATAGACAGGACCAGGAATAATAACCAAGGTAAGAGACACGAGCCTGGGTCAGTTTCCCTGAATGTTTTCAATCAGAGCAGACGGCAGCTTTTAAAATAACTTCTGCTGATGTTGTGATTTGAACTTGGAAGCCATCAAAATCACATTTGTTTTCACTTGGACTTGTGTCAAATTATCATAAAATATCTGTATAACTGTACAATTTATACTATAGTGAATACTTCAGTAATATGCTAAACAATAATCCGGTTTCCTAGTACCTTCTTTGTGTTCAGCAGAATTATAACGATTTCTTTGTGAAATTCCCAACGTGAGTCGCCAATAGTTTCAGATTACTCGGGCAGCAAGAGGATGATGTACCACGAACAGAATGATACGAATGTAGTGACGATAATTGATGATGAAGAGGACAGCGTAAGTGCCAAACCAATATTTATCATTATAATGAACCAGATTTACACAAAGGAGGGAAACTCTTGGATCATTTTCCAATCTAAAAGCGCCATTCAGCTATATACAGTGTGTATTACACACTCTTAACACCCGTAGTAGAGTGGAATGTTTCACGACGGCTTGTCACATTTTTTCATCCTGAGCTGGAAATATGTCTAGTTGGAGGATTTCTTCTCGTCATGACATGATAATAGAAACTAGATATGTGCATATTGCATACATCACATTGTCTTGAACTGTGGTTTCTACGCGTCATTGCAAACATTCCACACTCTCATACTGTATTTTTAAACGAGCTGACATGCACACAAAAATGGCAATCATTAATGAATGTTGACACATGTACTTGTTTAACTGCCAAACATTTAGCCGGAAATGTTCAATTAGGATAACTTAAAGCAGCTAAATTGTACACGTCAAGCGAGAATCACCCGGGGAGATATGTTAGGTATTCATTATTACATACTACTACGGGAACTGCCAATATATACGAAATCGGTATGATGTCAACTTTAAGCCTGGTTGTATGTAAATTTACCAATTAGGTCAATGATCTGAGAGGCAATTTTCATCAATAACAAGCTAGAAGATCCGGATCACTGCCGTTTTGAGCTGTATATTTGTATCTTGTTTCAATCTGGAGGATTTAGTCGCAAATTTCCACAAAGTTTTACAGCTGATGACTTTAAAACAGGAGGTCTCGCAAAATTAACTTAAGCATAATATAAATCATAGTTTCAGCTTACTCGTTGACGTCATATTGCCACCATATTTTATAACGATTATGTAGGTTACCGTCTAGACGCGTTTTAAGCTTAAAGCTCAATCCCTACCATGAGAACTGTACAGCACTGTGTGGTGCAAAGTTACTATAATAACCTCACCGGACATAGACGCCGAGACACTTTACTGTTCTAGGTTATGCAGCAGTTTAACTGCTACGCAATGTGAAAATATAACATCGAATTTTTGCAGAGTGATGACGAAAAGGAGGGTGATAGTCAAGCGGAGGATGCGTTGCGTGCATTCGACTTCATGGACGATGAGGAGGAGGATGAAGATGATGACGAAGATCAGGATATGGAGGACGATGGAGACGATGAAGACGATCCATCTAGGTAATTGGAGTACGGTGGTGACGTCATTGTGTTATTTCATGACGAAACTAAATTATTTTCAGAGCATCATACGTATTTGTGACGTCATCAGGTTTTAAAAAGATGCACTTGCATAATTGTTCAGAGTGTAAAATGAGTTGTTTATCGCTAAAAGCCACTTTAATTTCAGTTTTAGCAATCAGATGTTGAACCACAAAGACTCGTCGATACCCCGTGGAATGAAGGGTTTGAGTTCGTGGAACAACTATGACAGTCTCGATATGTACAGTCGGAATGGAAAACGCTTCAACAGGAGTGAGTACCCATTATACAGATTTAGCTTAAAACGGTGTTACTAGGTTTCAGACAAGGGAATGCTCGATCGGATATGATATTATCAAGAAGCAGCTGATACCTTCTTACGATTATCATCACGACTTTAAATTTTCGTCTAATTTGGACTAATTTTCAGAGGGACCTAATATGAGGATAAACTATGACGACGAAGAGCCTTCGCCGATCCCCAACCAGTTGCCCAAAGGAACGGACAACATACCCTCTGGACTCAAGGTATTGGCGGGAAAACTTGAAACAAATAGTGTAACCGTAACAACGTTATTCATAATCTCAGATTTAATTGAAACTTTGTAATGACGTTATTAAGTTACAAAGTCAGGGTTTGGTGAACGGTGGGTTCCCAATTTGTTACTCTCTCGAGTAGCTCGTAATGAAATTGTTTTTAGTCGCAACCTCACGCTCCGTCACTCACATTCCAACCCTATTTCAGGTGTCTACTAAAAGCAACAAGGACTTCAAGGACATCGACTTTCTACAAACAAAGGAACAGAAAGCAGGTTAGAAAAGATTACAAAGCAGTTTAAACCAAATTAACTACGTAATATTATTGTAATATTGGAGGGAAGCAGGTGACCTGTATCAAAAACATCCTGTATTCACGTGTATTACGTAGTTCTACCTGCAGAGTCCAGGTGGGACACGATCTCAAGTTACACAATCACCTCCATTATTCTAATGTTATCGGAATTTTGGAATTTGTGTGAAATATTTGCGCACTTTATTGTCGGATCAGACATGCGGGGTGGTGTTGCTGTTTAGATTTCATCATGCTATGATAGGCTACAAACATCGTACATTTCTTAGTCATACATGTGTAATGTGTATGCGGATTTATGATCCTTATGAATCGTTTTGCCTAGAATAGCATTCAGTTCAGTTCTGCCCAGATAGTTTCGAATAGGCTCAATGATATCAGTTTCCCTTCATTTGATTATTGGCTAATTGTTTGAATATTTCAAATATAATTTGTAGATCATTTTGAACATGCAGCTCCTACCTCTGGCCTAAATGTACATTTCATTGCACCATTTGAATTGCCATGGGGGAGACAATGGACATTCAGATTAATTATGAACTTTACATTTTGTTTGTTATAAGGGCTATAATTTTTTGTAATTTTCACGAGAGAAGTGATAAATTCTGTTGCTTAATCTGTTGATGATGACTACGAAAGTAGGAATCTGTTGCGTTACACAACCCCGACAGTATTACTGCAGCTGTATAACTCTGCACCTTAATAAGCCCGAGCATGAGCATAACGGTGCATTTAATCGAATTTTGTAGAATAACGTGGATTTTATAGATTAACGCGAATATTATTCTTATTTTGTTCGAGCTGGGGCTTGGCCATTCCCAACACTTGTAATAAATTCGGTCTGATTTACACCCATTAAACTAATAAAACATATATGTTATTATATTCATTAAACTAATAAAATACCAAGGTTTGTGGTCAGAGTTCCTGGTGGGGGTCGGCACTCTCCGATATATTTGACGGAAATCGATATCAAGTTCATTTTTCTATCGGACGATTCATTTTCGCTGCACAACAACGTTTCATTAAGTCTACAACGCATTTCCTGACTTGACTTGTTAATTAATTCCTGTACCCGGCGTGATATGACTCTTATACAATAGCCCTCCTTTAATTCATGTAATTCTGAGTTCTATATTTAGTTTCCCCCGTCATTGTTTGTCTCCTTGGTCACTTGTGTACAAAACCCGCAGGTGTATGTGACTTGCAATTTGTCTAAGGCATTGCACATCTGCCCAGTTGATTTGACATTTCTTAAATTTCCTCTATATTTCCTCTAGACTGTAGTTTTTGTAGTAGACAAGACTTACACTAATTCTCGGATAGTTGGCGTATCTAGACGGTCTGATGTGTTATTGTTTTAGTGTGACATTTGTGTGTATACAACTGGGGTATCTGAACTTGCTGCAGATGTTGCTATAGGTCGTAGCATGACAGTTTATGTACCCGTTCCATATTATAATATGTAATGTAGCTCATCGTTATCTACATCTTACCTCTGGTCAGCCTATCGGTATCGTTATCAGCAACTATAACATCATTAAACATACATCGTAGAACGTTGCTTCAGTTACTACACGATGTTTTGTCCGTTACTAGTTACTACACAAGCTTTTGTAGTAAAACTCGGTAATTCCTCCGGTTGCTGTCTGCACTGTCCACGCCTCTGTTGAAGTGCTAGATTATAGTTCTTGTCCTGAGGACAATTAACCAGAATTCGTACAAGTAATCACGCTAAATAACACTAATCACGCTAACCTGAGACACGAGGCTCCTATATATACCGTAGTGGTTCAGTGTAATTCTGTTAGATAGCCTAGTTATGGCACGAGACTGTATCGGTAAATATGTAATCTTACTGACATACTGTGATTGTACTGTGTGTTACGTCTAGTGTATAGTGTTGTTGCTGTAATCTGTATAACTACTGTGTACAATGGACATTGGAACTGGGGTTGAAATTCGTTTTATCGCTCGGATAAATCATGTATACGGCTTACTTCCCTTCACCATCTGTAGTAGTCAGTGTATATACGTACACTTTATTACTTTAGCTTGATGTTGATTCCATGAGTAATGAGAAATGTAGCTGGCAGCCAGGATTGTTCATTTAAATGTCTAATTCGCCGCGTGTTTTAGCCGACTTTTAATTCTTTGTTTCTCTTCCTGGCTTGGTAATCGTTACTCCTTTACAGCTCCTTGTTTACAGCTCCTTGTTTACAGCTCCTTGTTTACAGCTCCTTGTTTACAGCTCCTTCTTTACAGCTCCTTCTTTACAGCTCCTTGTTTACAGCTCCTTGTTTACAGCTCCTTGTTTATAGCTCCTTGTTTACAGCTCCTTCTTTACAGCTCCTTCTTTACAGCTCCTTGTTTACAGCTCCTTGTTTACAGCTCCTTGTTTACAGCTCCTTTTTTACAGCTCCTTGTTTACAGCTCCTTGTTTACAGCTCCTTCTTTACAGCTCCTTCTTTACAGCTCCTTGTTTACAGCTCCTTGTTTACAGCTCCTTGTTTACAGCTCCTTTTTTACAGCTCCTTGTTTACAGCTCCTTGTTTACAGCTCCTTAGAATCACCCCAGAATACCACGCCCGTACATTTTATTATAAACAGGCCGTTTATACAGACTCCTCAAATTATTGTGGTATTTCACAATACCCTAACACCTGGTAACTTTGACTGTTACATTAACAGCTCCATTGTCATGTTACAGGGCTGGGGCTATGTTTTTACTGCTACGAGCTGATCTGTTACAAACTGCATTGTTTATTAACAAAACTCAGGAAACTTCTACAAATTGTAGTGTTCAGAGAAATTCTATTTATAGAATTTCTTTGAATTCGACTAATGTTAGAAGTTTCCTGAATTTTGTTTTCTTCCTGATAGTTCGACAGTCAATTCTCAGCATATCGTTATTATTTAAATTGTAGTCCTTATCGATTCTTTTGTTACGAACCTTCTGCATGTTGTTCTCTACAATTTGTTGCTTCAAATCACCGCTTAGTAGCTGACGGTAAATCCATCACAGATTCTATATAAACACCTACACAGAAATTCTAAAGCGTATTATCTCCATTCTTTAAATATTTTTATTTGTTTGCATATTTTGGCTCGACAAATATGACTTCACCGATATTATTATAGTAATTTATTTCTTTTAGCTAAGCTGTTCGTTACAAACTCGCTCCTTCTGATTTCTGAAGACACTTCCTTCCGCCAACTGTAGTGACTTTTCTCTCACCTCAAGTCTAACGGAACCTACAAAGCCTTTCTACTAAATATTGTTCATCCTGCCCACCAAAACAGAAATATAGACTCCATATCAGCGGATCTTCTTTCTCCCTAAAACAGTTCATTCACAAACAATAAACCCGTCCTCAAACGAAACATCTGACCTCAAAAAGGCTCATTTCACGGTTAAAACATTGCTCTGCGAACCCCGCACATGATGAGTGGAGGGAGGTCGGACTGGGAATGTTCCCCTTACCATATCCCAGCTGCACAGTCTGACGACATTGACTGGGGCCTTCTCAAAAAGGCGCTCTTCCAGGGCATAGGTAAGCAGAGGTGGGATTATGGCAGGAGAAGGGTAGACATGGTCTAAGTTAATTATTAAACATCCTCTAATTAGCGTCTCGTAGATATATTCGGAGTTGTCGATGTATCGGTGTGGTCGAAACGTTCCCTGATGTTCCCCTCCACAATCGTTGAAAGGATAATATTTTCAGATAACAACGACGATAGCCTGTTCTCACAGATGAGTTTGGGGGAGTTGGCAGGGATTCAAGTCTCGGACATGGAGTCATCTTACGATGTGAGTGGACTAATCTTCATACTTTTAGTCTGTTTTGGATATTTTATTGAAGATGTAAATAATGATACAGATATCATTCGGGCGGGGTTATTTTGTAAATGCTCGATACAGATACAACACCGTGATATATGTTGGCTCGATGATTGATTCCGCTCGAATGATTATTTGAAAATACATGCTTCGAGTCGAGAGCAATTACTCAAATTTACAGAATTACATAGATCACGTCCAGAATAATGCTTTGCGAGTGAAAATAATGAATATAAATAGTGACAACCTCACTCCCTCAGAACTTCTCTCTAAACCAAAGCAACAAGTTCTGGTGGCAGTTAAAATGCTCGATGAGGGCACACTTTGACAGTGTCAGGCAGCTTACCTTTAGTCCTGATAGACCCCTACTCTTCACTGCTTCTGATGATTGTACTCTTAGGATGTGGGACGTAGAGGCTCTCAACCTCTACAAAAAGTAATTCTTCTTTATAATTCAGCTTCTTTAATTTTAAAATTTCTATGAAGTCATACAAACAGATCTAGATGGATTAAATTTCACATGATTAATTATTCTATATTGGACCGAAAATATGCATAAATTGCTATTTGAGGACAATGCGGGCATTTGCATTCCTCTCTTATCTTTTCCGTAACCGATATAGCATACTTATTCTGGTCTTATCTTTGTGGTCATGGATTTATCCCCTCTCAGAGGAGGCCCGGATGTTGAGCCACTCTACACGTTCCGAGGGCACAGCGCACCGGTACTCTGCTGCTCTTGTGCAAACTCCGAGAACGAGATCCTCCTATTCTCGGGAAGTGCCGACTCGACTGTTAGGTACTGGAGACTTCCTGCCGGAGCGGATATCAACATCTACGATCCTTACGGTACGTATTGGATGCTCGTTTACTTCTTGTTACCATAGTCGGTAATTTGAGTGAACAAAATTTTGTGTTTGTGTCAACGGCAACTCGATACTTCACTCTCAGCTTTCATTTTCAGGTTTTTTAACCGTAGTTCACTCAACCTTTTAAATCCATGTCAAATATTGTGTGTAACATCGGTCCCAACCCTAATTATCCGTTACCAATTTAAATTTGTAGGCAAATCAACCACGAGACGGCACCAATCAACCATTTCATCCTCATCAAATTCAATTAGCTCTGAGGAATGTGAGGATAGTGAGAGTCAACATGAATCAGATACAGAAAAAGAGAGTAATTCGGATAACTCAGAGAAGGGAATTAGTTCATTAGACTCTAGTAATAACATGATGCGATCGCTATCACTCTCATCTGTTGTACTTGTAGATAATGTTCTTGAAGAAGTCAATAAAACTGATCTGGAGTCAAATGAAATAGATTCTAATGATCAGCCTCAATCAGAAGATTCATCACAATCAATCATCATCTTGTCCCCAAATCACTCTGTCAGAAGATTGTATCTGTATCCACTTGCTCAAGGTTCGTCACTGGTAGGAGGGTCTCTTTTTCACCACACTGTTTATACACGAACATACATCTTGGTTCTTTTTAACATTCTTCATATTCAGATTTTATCTTCCTCTATGTTCAGTTTACTGTACCCTGATCCACTGTTGATATTATAAATCCCTTCAGGCAGCCTCTCAAACAAAACCAATTATTTGTTATAATTAAGGTCCGTGTAACTTAGATAATATCCCAGATGGATTGGTAGAAGAAGGAGAGTTGAGAGGACACGAGGAGGCAGTGTGGGGGATCACATCACACCCAACATCCCTACAAACGGTATCATGTGGTGCTGACGGGATCACATGTGTCTGGGACATCAGTCTCCCCAATCCTCTGGTAACCACCTTCACGTCCGAGGACGGTGCTCCTGCTACCTGTGTCGACTATGTCAGGTGAGCACACGACATCACGATGTCATAACACTGCATTACTTCAAAACTGTAATAAGGATTTTGTGATTTATCTGGATGTATTTTGCGAGATTTGCCTTCAAAAAAGCCCTATTCAGGGCTAAAGGATTAACCTAATATGGCGTCCCCAGGTCGGACCCGGAAAGCTCTATGATCGCGGTGGGATACGTATCGTCAGTGATAATCATATATAACATTCCTGAAACCCGGATATTATCTACCTTGACCTGCGAGCCCGGGGCTACAAATGAAAGTGTGAACAGTCTGGCTAGTCACCCTTCAAATGGGACGGTCATTGCGGGGTACAGCGACAAGGAGATCCGCATATTTGACGTTAACAGTGGTGGGTACCTTACCTTTTTAATCCTTAAATTCATCATAAATATATATCAAAGATATATGATTATACATGTGTAACCCTTATTTAGCCAGTTACTTGACTACTAAGAGTTGCTAGTAAATCATATTTCCAACCACATTTACCACCAAGGCTAATTTATAATCCCACCACGGAGTTTTAACATGTCACGTGATCAGGCGAGTTGCTGCATCACATGACGACACACATCGAGGCGGTGACATCTGTAACGATCGACCCCAGTGGGGTGTACCTAGCGACCGTGGGACACGACTGTTCGCTGAGAATATGGAACATTGAGGATAAGTCCTGTACTCAGGAGATGACCGCTCATCAGGTCAGTAGCAACTAGATATTGTTGGATATGTTTACGCTTCGTACATAAGGATTTTACGTTTGAGTTTTGCCAAACCTCGATTTTCAGAAAGTTGTATTATATTTTAGTGATTTTAACAAAGAACTTTCCCTTTACAGAAAAAGTTCGATGAAGCCATCCTGACTGTAGCGTTCCATCCTTCCCAAACCTTCATAGCCACGGGTGGCTCGGACTCTACGATAAAACTCTACCAATGATTCTCAACACTTGCTCTACTAAGCATCGCGTGATTAGTCACGTCAGAGTAGATGACGTCACGTGAGATAATTTGATGACGTCACGTGGCAGTGATGACGTCACGTTATAGAGAAGTCGAGACAAGATGCGCGCAGCAGCTCACTTCAGCTCGGGACACATTTGCGCGTTGTTGCAACCGAGCCCAAAGCTAGGAGCGTAGTTACAATTGTTGGTGTGGTCGAATCACGGGGACATAACTAGTTGTGTGAGTGTGTGTGATGAATTGATATATACAAACTCTGCGTCATGGTCGTGGTCTTACTCCCTGAAATTACGCAAGGAGACATTTAGTTGATAGATATATAATAGTGATAATTAAGTCACGTGTGTCCGCACGTGCTGTTATATTATAGTTTACTTATTGCCGGTAATAAGGTCTGTGATATTTTGTGGACCCGGGCCCGCTTTTGGAACCATGATACATATTAAATCCATTTGGATCAGTTTGAACTTTGTTTGAAGTTCGGCTCTCAAAAAGTACCATTTACTCTGCGCCATGAGTGACGGTGTGCTTTAGAATTACTAGTACATACATATTACATATTGTCCGTTAATATTTGACCGATAGTGTGATCTTTAAAATGTGATGAAGGTAGAACTAGATATTGTGAGCCCCCTGAATTTTTATGTACCCTATTCTATTTAGTTACTGTCACTCATTTGATAGGTATGAGATCGTCGAACTGTGTTTTGCGATAATTTTAAAGTGGCACCGGCGAAGATGCCCAAATTTGAGTCAGTTTATTGGATTTTCGCTAATTTTGTCTTGTGATCGCCCTTTATCTCAAATCAATTACTTAATCAAGAATTATTTCGTACAAATATTAAGTGATTTAAATCTATCTAGCACACGTGGGGATCAAGCTAAGCAATTGAGAGGGTAGGCACCAAATTTGTTTACAGACTTGGGTGAAATATTTTAGTTTATAAATAAGTGTGCTATAACTGCATTTTTGAGGTTAAAAAGTTTTCTAATCACTTTAAACTTAGTGTACCCAGTAGTAATGTTTTTGATATTCTGTATCGCACTCGTTATAGTGACAAACCACCTAATTGATGCGATGTATTTGGTCAGCTCAGTAGTGTGATATTCCATAAAATTATATATGGTTAGTGTTTTTTTTTTCAATTTTAGTAAAAACGATAACGTTAACTCGTCTACCGATTTACCGAGCGTATGACGCTCAGATGGGATTTCTGATTATTGCAGATGAAAATAATCTCAACTTATTGAAGTTTTAGCTTAAACTTAAACTTAGTAAAGCTGAGAGTAAAACTAGGAAAAGGGCCCTTAAGACTTATATGATAAGTTCATTTTCCTTTTTGCTTTTTTATGTTTTATAAGACGTCTTTTTAGAAGTAATAGGACTTTTTAAAAGCCTCCCAAGTCTACAGCGTACCCGCACTAAATCGGACGCAAATTCATCAAGAGTAATAATTAACATAATAACCATTTGGTCCTCTCAACTTTTCGAAACTTAATTATGTAATTTTAGTCAAATACTGCTAAAATGTTTGAATTGGGTACCTTGAGATTAGCATCTAATTATATGCGCTAATATGCTCCTGATATATTACCCTTAGTTACCATGACGTTAGTGTACATTTGTAACATACAATTTACAATTTAAATTCAGCGTGTTTTACTTTTTGACACCACTTAAAGTGGAATTGACAGTATTGCTTATATAATTTATCAGTTATTTAGAATATATATTCGCATGTATCCACACTATATTTACATTACACGTTCAACGTGATATCATCATCAGTGCAGTGTGTACAACACCAACTACCCGATCAATTGCCAATCTGCGAAACATTTAATCATTATTATTACTTCGAGATGGCCATGCCTACTCTCATGCTGTCTATAGGTGATGATTAACTCTGAAAAACTAGGGACAACTGGGGAATGATCCCAGAATCTCGACATTTCGCGTATCTTGCTCTACCAATTGAGCTACCGACCCTGATTCTCAGAGCGAAATCACCACTCATATACAGCACAATCAGGGTCAGTAGCTCAATTGGTAGAGCAAGATACGCGAAATGTCGAGATTCTGGGATCATTCCCCAGTTGTCCCTAGTTTTTCAGAGTTAATCATCACCTATAGACAGCATGAGAGTAGGCATGACCATCTCGAAGTAATAATAATGCTTATATAATGTGAAGATTATACTTGGTCAGATGGGGCTTAATATTATGATGGGATATAAATCAAATTGCAACCAAATATTTGCGATACACCTCGTCTGTCGTCAGCTAGCTAGCGCAGGTAGCGCTAACTATCGCAAAACATCGGTTTCAAATATATACGATATACCTCGTAAGCTAGCGCTATAGCTCGTCAGCTAGCGTTATATATTTAATAATTAATACGTCGCTATATATGATAATGAAATAATACGTCGTCAACGTTTGATGAAATCTTTTTTTAAAGCCTATCGCATAATTTAATTCAAGAAGCGGAGTTCAGATCGAAATGACTTTATAGTTCGATCAGTTTGATGGGCACTTAACCATTAATATTATATAAATATTGTCATGTAATGTCATAACTTGTCGTCTTGTCAGCAAAACATTTTAATTGATATAATGCCAGGAAACCTTACTGCAGCTGGGCCGGGCCTATACTATCTCCGAAAGTAAAAGAAATAGAGACTTACTGGGCGGCGCTCAGCCTGTCATTCCGCCGCGCTGAATCTCTATGTTTATGAACATAATAGCGCTTGTATCACGTTGTGACCCATACTGTCGTTTCACTATAGTAGAGTTTTTGTAGCGCGATGCACTACTGGGTCGCGCCGCGCATCAAATAATTCTTCTCGCATCAAATAATTATTCTCTTCGGTAGATCGGCGCGAGATGCACCACTTCTGTGCCTCACCGAGCTGCGAAGGATTGACATCGTGAATAAAGTAGAATTTCTACGATACAGGAGGAGCCGCGCACTCGTGCGTGGCGGGTCATACAACGTATGACAAAATAGCGCGCCGGGGCCGGGGCCCCAGGTAAGTTTTTTGCTTGGAGGGCTTCGACGCGCCGCGCAAACTAGCATTCTTGTTGATTCACGATGTCAATCCTTCGCAGCTCGGTGAAGCACAGTGGTGCATCTCGCCGATCTACCGAAAAGAATTATTTGATGCGCGGCGCGACCCAGTAGTGCATATCGCGCTACAAGCATTCTTGCTTCGCATCGAACCCATCGTCAATCAAGTTTTTTGCAACATTTTCGCCTCGTAAAAGGGGGCGCCAAATCCAAAATCGTCGTTTGAATGTGGGACAATTTGTGATTTGGAAAAACTTAACTACAAACTACGGTACTAGCAAAACTGGGCGTTTTGTTATAGAAACACACTTTTTTAAAGATTTTACCGGCGTATCCTCTAAAATCATTTAATCTGTTCAATTTTAGGGAGGGGCGCCAAAAGGGGTGGGGGCGCTTTTTCAGCGTGGGCAGTGGGGCCGTGGGGGATTGTAGGTTTACAACCAACCAGGACGCGCGCCGAGTTAGAACAGATATTTTACGAGTATCACCCGTTGATTTGAAACTTTTACAAAATAGCAAATATACAAATGTACAGCAAATCGAACAAACATATAAAATGGGCCGAAATGTATAAATGCTATAAAGCGTGGGTCAGTGAAACAAGTTCAGAGGACAACTTTTAAAACACAAGGTTTATGGCCGCCCAAAGTCTCAATAACGTCACCTCCACCTAGTAATAAAATTATGAAATATGAAGTGTGAAACAAATTATGAAATATGAAGTGTGAAACAATCAAGAAATAGCTCGTATATAAATTATAAAATTGTCTCTCAAATACAGATAACGTCCGAAAACTATTAAGATACACAATACTCATTCAAATACTGATCAGTGTCCGAGAGACATGAACTGCTAGTGCTTCACGGTGGTTTCTTATCACGGCTACAGACTTTCCCGTACCGGATATAGTGGTCGAGATGAGTCTGTTCAACCCTCTTCTTCTTCAGGTCGGTAACCAGATGTTTCCTCGTTGCTCGTTCTTCGCTAGATCTATCTGGACAGATCCATACACTTTTGTGGGTCTCAACTAGCCTCAGTCTTCCTGTTTTCGTCAGAATCTGTTGAACCGCTGTAGAGCTTGGGACAGTGATCTTTACTGGTCGGATAGTCGTACTACCTGGCCTCTTCCTGCCGACTCTAGTCGCTTCGAAGTGAGGTTTCTCCCCAATCTCCTCCAGAACTGCGGTTACTAGCGCTGGAAGCTGTTCTCCCTCTTCTTCTTTCAACCCAAACACGATCAGGTTCTTGCTCCTGTCCTCCTCTGCAGCCACACTCTTCATCACCTTCTTCAGGATGTTACTGTTGCAGACCGTACCACTTGCACTGTTCTGTTGTACAGTTGCACTGTAGCTCTTAATCCCTGACTCCACCGTTGTTTGCACTGTCTTTTTAACCGACGTCTTAAACAACTCTAGTTCTTTGTCCTTCTGCACAAAAGTTAATGGGGGGAAGGCGCCAACTTGGCGCCAACTTGGAGGACTTCGACGCGCCGCGCAAACTAGCATTCTTGCTTCGCATCGAGATCGTTGCTCTGCTTCGCAAAGCAACGATCTGGAAGGGTTGACATCGTCAATCAAGGAGCCAACATGAACAGGCAACGTTACCAGTTACGCGTGCACTGCCCCTAAGGGGGAAATTTGGGACAATTTAAATATTGAGTTATGATCGCGAAAAGTCACATTTTGGGCCAAATGAAAGTTTGCAATTTTAACTTTGCAAATTCATATCCTCTGATTAGCTGAATATTGTGTCACGTGAAGCTGGGATGCGTTGCACGCGTGCAGTAAACTTAAGCATTAAACGCGCTCGAGTATGAGCTCGGCGCTCGCCGCTCGCTGTGATGTGTGAAGACGCGATTACCTTTAGTAGTAGTGCATAGTAACACGCCCAGCCAGTAAGGACAAAGTTTGCTGGGCCGGTGGAACTGGATTTATATGAATTAAACAAGAATTAAACAGGAATTAAACATGAAATGACCTTGTAGCGCGATGCACTACTGGGTCGCGCCGCGCATCAAATAATGCTTCTCGGTAGATCGGCGAGATGCACCACTGTGCCTCACCGAGCTGCGAAGGATTGACATCGTGAATCAAGAAATGACCACTAGGAGAACACTAATTTTAAATTTAACGAACTCGTCTTGGTAATTCAACAATTCATTAACAATAAAGACGATCAGAACCCTAACACCTAAAAATCGAGAGAAAGCTATAAAAACAAAATTTTAAAAATTATAATTTTATAATCGCGTTACAATTTCACGAAAGAGAAGAAAACAAATCGAATATAATAATTTAAATATAACGAGTAAAAAAGAAAGGAGGCTGTGCTTAATGTGTTCAAGGAAAGCCGATCTCCAGTGTAGCGACCTTTTTAATTTCTTTTATATCCTCAGATCGTGACTGCTAGATCGAAGTTTAGCAATGTTAGCTTTTTAACCCTGTATGGGAGCTGTAAGTTACGGTTCTTTACCAAACTCAGCTATATCATGTGAGAAGTAATTGAATGTTGATTAAATATTAAATATTTATTTTCAGGGTTTCCGCGCGGTATTTGGTGGGCCGTTTACAGTTTAGTGACTTTGAGCACAGTCGGATTCGGTAACAATATCGCTCCTACTATAAATCGCTCGCCCAAATTTTAAGAAAATTCTTGTGAAAAGGCCCTTTGGGTGTAAAATTGATCTGAATCGGTGTATTTTGGACGCTGATTCCGAATCACTCCACATGACGTAGGGTAAAAATGCTTCCACGGAGAGTTATGGGCAAAAAACCGTTGTGGTCACGTGACAGGCTAGTAAAACATGAATTCGATTATTTAGGGCTCGGGTTAGGGTTAGGGTTGTGGTAAGGGTTCTGGTTAGCTTCGGGGTTATGGTTAGGGTTAGGGTTGGGATTAGGGTTTATGTAAAACCGTTTTGTACGGCTGCAAAACCATAAAAACCAAAGTCACCGCGTGAAATTTTTGGGCGAGCGAATTAGTAAGAGCCTGCATGATATTATAGTACCTGTAAGACTAAGTATGTTGAATTACTTATTTGTGATAATTTATTACTACGTTAAAAAACCTTTAAAAATACTTATATTAATGCAAATATTCTTTGCTGTTACTATATAACTAGCTATAAAACTGCAAGTAGCTGAATATGGAATAAAAATCACACAATCTATCGTGATGAATTATTGTCATACGTTGTATGACCCGCCTAGAGGACCTTAGCGTGAATAATTATGTCCGTGAAAATAATGTCTGTGGCATTAAGGTCCGTGAATAATAAAGTCCGGTAATTATTTCGATTAATTTTTGTGTGTGTGTCCCTACATATGCGTAGATGTCTGTAGCCGATTACTATATGAGTATATTATCTTATTAGTATACTAGGACAAATATAATCACTCCTCAGCCACATTCACTCTGTATTCAATTTCATAACAGTAAGTTAACTAAGTACTTAAGTTATTACACCATGATTACTATGATTCTAGATTGCAAAGCCATTTTCCGTGGTCGCATATTATAATACGGAATTATCAAAAATGTTCTACTCTAAAAATTACAACAATGCGACTCATAAATAATTATCCTTTCCTTGTCATACTGCATACGTTGTATGACCCGCCGCGCACGAAGTGCGCGGCTCCCCCTGTATCGTCAGGACGATAAAGGACCATAGTGAAACGACCGTGGGGGTCGCAACGTGATACAATCCTTTCCAGATATAACAAAAAGATTTATCATCGATTGATTTAACAATTCACAGACTAGTTGGCTGATTGCTTAATTAATTATAATAATAAAACCAAATGATTATGTTTTACCGTCGTATAAATCTCCGTCAGGGTACGTCATTATTCCCCGGCCCTGTCTCTTGAAGTCCACTATCTCTCCATAATATTTAACTCCTCCTGTAATGGGTAACTAGTTAAGAGGTAACTAAGAGGTAACTAAGAGGTAACTAAGAGGTAACTAAGAAGTAACTACCTTACAAGACATTTTTGTGGCGGACCAATGTGCGACGACCGAAATTTTGGCGGTCCGAAAATATGGCGAAATTGAACAAAAACCGTCACATTTCGGACGTCACAGAAAATAAGGGTATTTTTCATCATTTTGTTTTCTGACACAAAGGAAATTCAAAATTTTCTAAAAATCGGTAAAATCATGTTGAAACAAAATGAAACTTATAAATCGATTTCTTCATCTTCCTCTAAGGGGTCCGGCTCGAATCTTTCAGTTTCACTTATTGAGTTTGGTCTTAAATTGTTTATCTTGACTTACCTAGTCTATAAGACGTTTATGTTAGCACATAAATGTAATTTATTGTAAATTTAAAACGTATAACTTGACATTAAATTCATCATGGAATATTGTGTTTATTTGTCCCACCATCATATCACTAACTTTTCAAGAACAAAATGAATCGATGAAGCCACAATTATTGGAATAAGCTAAAAATAATGCGACGGATTCTATTACGACGACCGAAATTTTGGCGGTCCGAAAACATGGCGAAATTTCGGGAAAACCGTCGCATTTCGTACGTTATAAAAATGTCTTGTAAGGTAAGAGGTAACTAAGAGGTAACTAAGATGTAACTAAGAGGTAACTAAGAGGTAACTAAGAGGTAACTAAGATGTAACTAAGAGGTAACTAAGAGGTAACTAAGAGGTAACTAAGAGGAAACTAAGAGGTAACTAAGAGGTACGGTAACTAAGAGGTACGGTAACTAAGAGGTACGGTAACTAAGAGGTAACTAAGAGGTAACTAAGAGGTAAATAAGAGGTAACTAAGAGGTAACGAAGAGGTAACTAAGAGGTAACTTAGTGGTAACTTAGAAGTAACTTAGAAGTAACGAACAGATATCTAACAGGTGACGGATATCTAACAGGCAACTGACAGATATCTAACCGGTAACTCACATTAGAACTTATGGTACACTGAATGGCAGCAAACAAAATATTATGTAAAAACAAATTTGGTATTTATCTTGGTATTTATTGATATTTATCCTTACATATTGTCTCAATTTCAGCAGAATAGTGTCTAAGTTACCTTTGTACTCGTATTTACAAGGTGGAAGGAGATGGTGAGGTAGTGTTCGTATTGAATCTCCAATCACACTCGGATCCATGGAACTTGTCATCTTTTGGTTTCACTTTTGGTTTTAATTTTGGTTTCACTTTTGATTTCTCTTTCTTGGTAACTCTCTATCTTTCTCTTCAGTTTCTCGTCACGGTCTGAAATTATCAGTTGTTTCTATTTCTCTCTTGAATTGTTGTTAAAATCACATCAGCTAGAAATTGAAACTTAGCTAGTAAATTTAAACTTTGCTAGGGGAAGAGACAATAATTGTAAAATTTGACTTAAATTGCCATAATACTCAATATATTTTATGAGTTAAAGAACAAAGCAAATTTTAATTGTCTTCTCAGACTGTCGAAAAAAATTTGATTATAAAGTCTAGATACAGAGACAGAATTATTTTTACGCTACATAATATACTTTAAAGTGTCAGTGGACAGGTTTAATGTTTATTTGTGTCCAAAGCACATGATTTCTCCTAAACAAATGTACAAGCACGGATAAATAAATACAAAGATATAACAATAGACAGTTTTTGGGAGTTCCAAATAGTTTCTGATTATTCTGATTTGCGACAAATGATATTGCACTGTTAGGATAAACGACGTTTCAAAGTAACAACTTCTTATTCATGCTGACAAAATTGGTAAATATGTGAGAAAACTGTCTCATAAAATTTATTAATCAAAAATGGCTAAACGACAACAAATTGTTCAAATACTCGACTAAAATTAGAATCAAAATCTATATATAATATACACCACTACTCGATCTGCTATTCAATAAACTTAAGATATAACAGTACTACCTAAAAAGTAATACCTAAATATTTCGTGTACAGTAACAAGATGGCTGATAAATACAATTAATATAACTAAAAAATATTCTCAGATTCAGGTTTTGTTTGCAGAATTGAATAATATCATTTTTAAAAACGTAACTACGTGGCAGGTTCACTTTATTATCAAAAAAACACATGCGGAAAATTATTTAATTTAAGTTATCGTTCTTTAAGGTCATAGCTCCATGCTCGTAAAACTTATTAAAAATGCTGAAAAAACCTTAGACAAAAGCTATAAAAGCAAAAAAAAACAATATCAAAAATTAATTATTTTCAAATCTGGAACTACTAAAAGTTAGCTAACGGGAAATTTAATAGTTAAGTTATGATGGCTACCAGCTATCTAACATTCACTCAATTCAGTTCAACTACAGTTTAATCATCTTATTATTCCGCACATTATTTTGACATCTATACAGAAAAATGTTTGTTTTATCTTCTCCTATCGAGCTTAACATATTTTCAGTCTTTTATTTGTTTTATAGAAGATAAAATCAGAAGATCTTATTATCAAGGTAATCCATCCATTTCTTCTGATAGCATGATCTCGAATGAAAGTGTATGAGCGTACATCTGCATCAGTCATATTTATTCCCATTTCCATTTGAACCTAAGCGTTTTTCTTTTAAAAAATTAGCTTTGTCAATTCTCAGCATGTTAAGCTCGGATCCCATGATCTCGTTTCTCAGCGTCATCTGAAATTTATAAGGTTAAAAATTAATTTTTTCAACCAAGCTTAATTCCATTTTGCGCATTACTCAACTTATAAGCTAAAAGTTTCATCCAGAAAAAAAAAATGTGAAAAGGCATAAGAAACGGTACCTTCTCATTCATGATCCTGAGAAGCCAAACAACAATACTCAGTATAAAGACAACTGGAACCACTGATACAACGACCATAATTTTTCACCAGCTCTCCAATATCCATCTTAAAGTTGCATTTTATATCCTCAAACTACACAATTTAAACTTAGGCATATATAGTGTAGACTTTCTGTCACAACAAGACTGTAACCCATAGTAACAAAAACAAACAGAACCCCTAACGTCTGCTAACAATTTTCTTCTGATCCTCATATGAGCCCTGTCTCTAAAAACTCAACTGAACTAGCGTTTTGGTGTGTGCACGCACATTCCCTGCCCCGTTAGTTACCTGTCCCTTCAAAATCAAACTAACAGTCAAGGACAAAAAGTCATACACCAAATGAGCATTATATTTTTATAAATTGTTTTACATCTCTTTATTCTGAAAAATGTGCTAAAAATTAAATTTCTTGTTTCATTGAAATTTCTTGTTTCATTGAGTGAGGATGACATGGACAATCTCCCTTGCTTGTGTGTTCCAGCCTTCTGACATTTCCCCCCACGTGTCCCACATATATTGTCGAATCTGAGATAAAATATTCGGTTATTTTGGGAAATTTTATAAGTTATTTTGCTTATTACTTTATTAGTATCAATTATTTTGAAAATTTTATAAATTATTTTGTTTCAATAACAGGCTTGGTGGTTATTATAATTGGTGTATAGTTTAATGGTGGTACGTTAAAGAAGCTCCGCCATATTACTTTATTGGTTCTGGTATTGGTCATGATGTGATGAGGGAAAAGCTCAACATGACTCCGAAAACACAAAGAAATAAAACTCATATAAAGAGTCAACCGGAAGGTTAGGAAAGTTTCACACGTGAACTTTTTATCTGACGAGGGCGAAAGTAAATTGACCACAGCTATACTTAATAAACCATATCATTTAGAATTTAGTATTATTGACTTATTTTTGTTTTTTACGTTTTGAGTACGTCTTGCTGTCTCATGGCCTCATTGGGGACGTACATCGAAAATAGATATTGACCTGGGCACTGGGCAGTATCTTAACTTTTTACACGTACGCCGGTACGCGTTTTCAAATGGTGCCAGGTGTTCGTGGTTAAAGATTAGCCAGTTAAACTTAAACTAGCTAGTAAAACTATGACTACTCTTCTTCCATAGATAATGGATATAGACTCAAGACTTAACAGACTTGCCTATAACCAATGGTTGCTGCATCATGAACTTACTGACTAGCGTCAAATTATCGTTATTAGAACTTTATCAGCTTTAGAAATTATAGTTTAATAGATTGTGATGCCAATGACATGTTTTAAGTTTAAGATAACATGTTGTTTAAAGCTCTTCGTGAATTGAGTTTAAAAGGTTTTGAATGCAGTCAGTTTAGAATATATCACATCATTCGCTTCAAAGGATTGAAGGAAAAAATGAACGTCGGACACCGAAATGATTGATAAATTTGTTTGTAGGTGCATTATTGACAGCCTCTATAATATTAACAGTTAGTTGGAACCAGCTCATCAGCATACCAACAACTTGCATTTGTTTTAGGGCAGTTCTGAATGCTGGCACCTTAGAATTCTATTAACGTAATAAGGCCACCACTAGTAAATGTATTAAGATCATTTTGAGCTGAATCCCTTTACTATTACTTTGATATATTCAAACACGTAGTGCAAAAATGAAGGTTTTTTTCGGAGTTTTGATCGTTCTGGTAGTCCTTACTTTGGCTGAAGGAGGAAATCGGAAAGCAGTTAGAGCAGCAAGGAAATGTAAAAAGATGAACAAAACGTTTGAAGGATGTTTGGAAAAGGGCTACAAGTCTATCTGTGACGAATCTGATGATGACAATGGTGAGTTTAAAGCCTGTTATAAGAGATAGATTAACCAACAAAATTCCTCCGTTTTAAATATATATTCGTTGTATCATTGTATTAGAATTTTTCAGTAGTATATAAATCAAGAGGCTTGCATATAATGAACATATTGACACGGGTGCAGAGTTGAGTCTGTACGGAACCTAGTAGTTCCAGATCCTTGTTTAACTTGCCGTACAGCAAGGTCATCCACTACTTTAGCCCGGCGAGGCACATAACTCCCTCTACAACTCCATATCAACATGCTTCATATATACTAGCCAAGTTCACAAGATATGTCCTTGTGTTTGAGAAGAGCTCGTTAGAACTGCTTCCTTTCCCTTCAGTATCCCACAGTCTCTCGAGTTTCGTAACTGCCAGAGAACTCTCATTAACAATTACTAGACAATTACTTCTATATGATAGAATTTCCTAATTTTGATTTCCTAATTTTTTATTATACAATATTCATATTATTATTATTATAATAATAAGGCTTATATTTCAGAGGAAGAGGAAGTTGTTGTAAATCATTGTCCTACTGATTTTCCCAACGTCTACTACAACGGACAGTACTGTTGTAAATCCAACATGGAGAAGTTCTACGAGCCTCAGGGTGCCCAATGTGACGGCAGTGTGATTCAGAGAGACAGTATGTGTTGCGCAGGTGACCAGTACACGTCGTGCCCCGGTGGAAACTGTGAAAGCAACCCAGCACCCACACCAGGTGAGTTGGTCGTATAATTAGTATAATTAGTATAATTAGTTTATAAGCTTCAAATCTTGATGTTCTTTAATACGTCCGGAGAGAGGGATGCAAGTTGACTTAGTAGACCTCAAGAAAAAGGGCATTTTAAGAGAAGCACCGTGTCTAGTTGCTAGGTGCTTCTTTAAGAGAAGCACCGTATCTAGTTACTAGGTGCTTCTTTAAGAGAAGCACCGTATCTAGTTGCTAGGTGCTTCTTTAAGAGAAGCACCTAACAACTAGATACTATGCTCACAAATACTGAAATGTTCGGTTCAACCCAGTACATTGGTTTTCAAGTACTTTTTTAAAAGCTTATGTAAGATATCTCTGAGAATGGGTACAAAGTTATGATCAGGTGTAAGAATAATGATGAATCAAAGTAAGTTAAAAATGTTTCCTAGAAATATTTCCTACGTTTATTTCCCAAGATTACATATCTATTTATGTATTTAATAAACAGCTTATATTTCAGATATACCTCAATGTCCTGCTTCGCATCCTAACGTGTACTACAACGGCCAGCACTGCTGTGCCTCGAACGTGGAGAAGGTCTACGCTCCTCAGGGTGCCCAATGTGACGGAGGTGTGATTGGTAGAGACAGTATGTGCTGTGAAGGGGACCAGCACACACCCTGCCCCAGTGGGAACTGTGCAAGCTACCAACCATCTAGGAGTAAGCGAGGTAGGTGATCTTTCATTTGGTGTAGATTAAAGATTGGTTTTTAAGCTTCAGATCTTGATTGATCTGCTGGGTGTGGATGAAATGCTGTTTAATATATAGCTGTCACTTAAGGAACTATCTGATACTGACGTTGAATTTTTATCATGTAGAATCAGAACCTGAGGAAGCACAACTAAGTAAGAAAGAGTCGAGGAAGTGCGCAAGAGTCGAGAAAAATCTTATGAAGAAATGTGACTACGAGTGTTAAATCTGAGGAGATGACCACGTGATGCCCATATAAGGAGATGACCACGTGATGCCCATATAAGGAGATGACCACAAAGTTTATTTTTAAAATTAGTTTATTGTTTTAGATAATTCACCATGTTGTGGTAATTGTTATAGAATATTGATATTTAAAATGTGTTTTCATTGAACCATATTATATTATGTTTGTGGTATTAGAATTTTTGCAACCATTTCCAATCGTATCAAGCCTTCAAATTATTATAATTTAAAATTTGAAATTTTAATTCAGTTAACTTGTAACAATGTTATCAGCAATTTTCTGTTTTACTTTGAAATACTTACGAATTTCTCTGTGCTTAATTTAACTAAGTGCGCGACTATAATTCTCCAGACTTAGTGATAGTGAGTGCGACGTTATAGATTACAAGTTTAATAATTTATAGTCTCTCATTCCTCAGTTTAAGTTCCAAAGTTCTTTATATTTATATTTATAAACAGATCATTTAATCCAGTGGAATGTAACTTGAGGTATATACGAAGTACACGTCCCGGCTTGAAACTTTGAAAACGGTCAAGTTTGGAGTTTCCATAATAATTGAAGTTCATGATTGGTCAATTTAATCTTCACGTGAACTTATTTTTATATAAATCTTTTCAAAAAATACATAAATGCTTCTTAATAAACCCAGATATAAAAGGAGATTTTAATTCCAATGCTCATTTGTTTGAGTCACAAAAAGAATGAGAAATCAAGTTGAAACATATCCAACACATGATAAGAATTAAGTGATTTAACAATTTAACATTTGAAACCAAAATCTCATAACAGCTCATGCAATAGTTTTTGTGATATATCAACGATGATAATAAGCAAGGAAAGAAGCAATAAACTTTTCGAAATAACTTAAATATATCCGTATCATTGGTAGTCAATCGACATGCATTTTTTCAGTCCAACAACTCAGTAACCCAAGTCGTTAACAGCTCATATTACGACTAATGAGTCCTCCATTTGCCCGGGGTCCCAGACCCCAGGTCAGTGTCCACCATTCTGTGTCTTCAACCAGCAGTAGTTATCACTCCTCCTCAGAGTAAAAGATCTGCAGTCAGCAGCATCAAAACAGCTCTGGTTACAGTCCTCGTAGCTGGCAGATCTGAAGTTCCTCAGGTCGGCTTCCCAAAAGTCAAAGTTATCCCTGGCACAATCTCTGGAAGCAGGGTTAAACTCAGGAGAACAATCAATGTTCATGCTAACAACAGCTCCGTTAGGGTTTGGTCCACTCTGCCCTCCTCTCTTCCTCTTCAGCCAGCAGTAATTGTCTGACTTCCTGAGGGTGAAGGACTGGCAATCCTGTCCCATCCTGCATGCTCGAGCGCACTCATCCAGATCACTTCCTGAGTTGAAGTTCCTCAGATCAGCCCCCCAGAAATCCTTGTTGTCCCTTGCACAGCTCAGGTCTAACTGTGACGTGTCACACTCCATATTCCTGCTGATCAGACCTCCATTTGGGGAGGGTCCAGTCTCTCCACCAAGTTTCGTCTTTAACCAACAATGGTTATCAGATTTTCTCAAGGTAATGGACTTACAGTCAGCAGCATCACTGCAAGCGGTGGCGCACGACTCGTAACTATCAGAGTCAAAGTTCCGGAGATCAGCCCCCCAAAAGTCGTATCCATCCAGAGCACATGACTTGTCGGAGGCTTGGAGACCTTGTGATGGAGCACAGTCAATGTTCATGCTGATAAGGGCACCATTAGGATTAGGTCCACTCTGTCCTCCTCTCTTTCTCTTCAGCCAGCAGTTATTGTCTGATTTTCTAAGAGTGAAGGATTGACAATCCTCGGTGTCACGGCAGTGTCTTGCACAGTCGTCAAAGCTTTGTGAGTTGAAATTCCTCAGATCTGCTCCCCAGAAATCGTAGTTTTCTCTTTTGCAGCTGCTATCCAGGTCAGAAAGATCACATTTCATGTTCATGCTCGTTAAAGCAGCGTTGATAACTGGTCCAGTGTCACCACTGTTCTTATTCTTCAGCCAGCAGTTGTTGTCTGAATTCCTAACAGTGATAGATTTGCATCCCACTTCTTGGCTACATGCTGTGGCACAATCCTCAAAGCTAGCGGCCCGAAAGTTTCTTATGTCAGCGCCCCAGAAGTCAAATCCAGCTCTTTTGCAGTCAAGGTTGTACGGAAGTTCTGGTACTGGCGGTTCCGTGGGCTCTGGTTTAGGCTCCGTGGGCTCTGGTTTTGGCTCCGTAGGCTCTGGTTTCGTGCATTCGTAATCACATTTCTTTAGTTTCTTTCCGAACTTAGCGCACTTCTTCGAGTCCTTCTTGCTCAATTCGCCATCTCCAGAGGCACATCCATCGGACTTGTACCCATTCTTCAGACATCCTTCAAACTTCTTGATGTTCTTTTTACAACTTTTCTCTGCCTTAGCTGCTTTGCGGGCTGCTTTGCGGGCTGCTGGATCCAGCTTTCCTTTCTTACCTCCTTCAGCCAAAGTGATGAATACCAGAACGATCACAACTACGAAAAACACTTTCATCTTTTATTTGAGAGTGTCAAACATATAGTAAATTTGTAGAGCTAAAAGTGATGTTAAAAAGGTTAATGATAGTGTTATTAAAAAACAGCTAAAGTGCCTGCATACAAAGCTGTACTTAAATAAATTCAAATCGTTGGTAAGTGGCAAACTGATGAGTTGGTGTGTGGCAAACTGATGAGTTGGTCACAACATACGGTTGATAAACCTAGTAGGGGGTGCACCATAAAAAATAAACTTGCTCGGATTTTAAAATTTTTTGTACCATTGTCTTCTAGAGACTGTGAGAATTTTCACAATACCAAATTTGTCATACCTTTTTGGAAAGATCAGTGAGTTTCGCCTAGGTGCCATATTTGATGGTGCGCGGCTTTTGGAGCAAAATTAGCTGTAAAAGTCGCGTTATTTGACCAAATTTGACCAAATTCGTTGATTTTTGTCGTATTATTTGGATATATCTTCAGTTCCTTGAATGAGATCATTCTGAAAATTGGCGACGACCTTTCAATAGGGCTTTCACAACTGTCCGAAAAATTTGGTGGATATCGGAGTTGATATAGTGATCAAAATGGGGCAAAATACGCTGCTTTTAGCTGTAACATAATGTCTGATGGTTGGATATGCTTTAAACTTTTCGGACACCTTCCTTGTAAGTCTATGAGTAAGCTCACCAATTTTTGTTGCAATCGGAAATCGGGAAGGATACTTAATATCTATTTGTTTGAAGAAAATTGTGCTGGCCGAAATTAGCGCTAAAAAACCATCCTACAGTCGGCACGCGCGGCTCACTGTCGATGGCGCACTACCTAATTACCTAGGCTTAGTACCATTCCTTATTTATTTTCATTGACAAAGTAAACGTAACGCTAAATGCTGCTAACTGCTAAGTCGCATGTTATCATCAAAGCATAACATTTGCCAGCTAAACACTGGTAGTATTTCATTTTTTCATGTTTCAGAGCTCAACAGATAACTGTCCAACAGAGGTCGAATTCACAAAAATAATTACTGGGCTGCGCTCAGCCTGTCATTCCGCCTAATCTCTATTTTATTGTTGTTTAACAACATTAAAGCCTGGGGTCCTCAGGTAAAAAAATAACTAAAACCATTGAAGCATTGATTTAAAGCAACCGCCGCTCTTCAAGAACAAAAGAAAATTGCAATTATTTAGGCCAAAATAATGCCGGATGTAAAATTGAAAATGTTACTGGTTTAAATTTCTTCGAAGTAGCGCGCGCCGTTTTTTTGTAGGTTTACAACCTACCAGGACGCGCGCCGAGTTGGACTCGTCGACGGTCCTGAATATTAATATTTTACCCGTTTATAGTATCACCCGTTATATTAAGCCGGGCTGGTCCATGCATTATCAATGAACAAGTAAAATCTATAAAAAATGGTCAAAATGTAGGTTTTTTTCGCGCGCAGTTCATTTATTTAGGTTTACAACCTACCAGGACGCGCGCCGAGTTGGACTCGTCGACGGTCCAATATATGGAACAGATATTTTACGAGTATCACCCTTTTAAGTTCATTTTAATTGCAACTTAGTTGATTCACGATGTCAATCCTTCGCATCTCGCCGATCTGGTTGCGAGAAGCATTATTTGATGCGCGCGCGACCCAGTAGTGCATCGCGCTACAACAACTTAGGTGCTATATTTTAGAAACTTTTGTACGTGTATCATTTAATATAAATAACTAATCTAAATGTATTAAATATTTGTATCACGCGGTGACCCCCACTTGCACTGTCGCTTCATTATAGTCTTCGACGATACAGGGGGAGTTAATTGACGATGTCAATTCATGGCAGCTCGGCGCGGCACAGTAGCGCATCTCGCCGTGAGAAGCCTTATTGAGTGCGCGGCGCGGCACAGTAACGCATCGCGCTACAACAGGGGGAGCCGCGCACTTCGTGTGCGGCGGGTCATACAACGTATGACAATTAAATATAATTCTGGCCAAAAAACTATTTAAAAATGTAACCAATATGTTGGGTGCGCCGCGCATATTTTCGACAATTTAAAATCGAGCGCTCAAGCAGATACTGTCATATGTCATATTTTCAGAAGATTACCTTGGTAGTTTTTTATTGTTATTGTAGCGTTTCAGAATTCTTTTAACGTCTATTTGATTATCATTTTGATGTGTAATTTGATTATTAACTATGTTTTCTTGTATTCTCATTTATGTGGAGCACTAATTCATATTAATTCCCGTCGTTTTTATTAACTTATTACAACACTACAAATCTATTATATGTCAAAGAAGAAACGGACCTGGGAGTAGTTGTAACGTCCAATTTCTCTTGGGATCATCAATGATCAAATTGAGGCTCTACTGAACGAGGCTAGGTCTATTATACTGCCGTTTTCTCAGAAAAGGCAGTAAGTCCATATTTGCCATTTCGAGATATTGCGACTTTTGCGTTTATGGTTTTTTCTCCGCTTACTTTTTGCGTAAGATCGAAAGTAAACACGTTGAGTTATCAATAATTAGTCAAATTTTAATTTGTCAAAAAAATTAAAGCTTTGAGCCGTCCATAAGCTTAGATATAACCATTTTTATGCCAAATAATCGAGCTTATTTTTCATACTGGATGGACTTACTGCCTTTTCTGAGAAAACTTGGACTTACTTCCTTTTCTGAGAAAAATCTCTGTTCAATATTTTTCTGAGAAGGAAGTAAGTCCAAGCTTTTTACTAAATTTTTGAGGTTTGGATCTATGTATTTTGGATTATATTGTAAAATATAAACAATTAGGTAAATCTAAATTGCTCCATATCATATAATAAATGTTTTTGAATAATAGTATGCCCTTATTTAGGCAAACTCGCCAATTTTGAAAGATTTCAGTGCATTAAATGATATCTTATCAATATTTTGATGAAAATGAACTTGATCTAAAAGATATACCTAAACTAAACATTCTCTGCGATTATAACAGCTCAATAACTGCTCCAATGTTTATGTTTTGCGACTAAAATACATCCGGCGTTTTTGAAAATCGGCCACCAAATTTTTTTTGAGGCCTAAATGAAAATTTTGATCACTTCAGTAAAGTTGTAATGTAATTATACATCGATTCTGAAAATTTCAAGCGAAAATATCAATCGGCAGTAAAGTTATGTTCTTTTTGGGAAATCGCTTACTAAAATTCCGCTTTTAGCATACTTTTATAGGAAGTAAGTCCAGCTACTTCTTCCTATCACAGATAATTTATCTCAGAAAAGGCAGTAAGTCCACGGAATTACTTCCTTATCACAGAAGATTTTCAAGATTTTCTCAGAAAAGGCAGTAAGTCCGGACTTACGTCCTTCTCTCAGAAAATAATTGGCCAAAACCGAACATAATGTTTCTCAACTGGGACTTAATTCCTTAGAAATTGCATGCAACAATGTTTCTATACATTAATATGTAGCTCATGTTGTAGAGAATTTTCTACTGAAAATTTTGATACCAATTTTGTCATATTTCGAAAAATTGGACTTACTGCCTTTTCTGAGAAAACGGCAGTATATATACTGAGGCCAAAAAACTGCCTTAAAAGCAAGTTTCTTTTTCCGAACCGTCCAATTATTTTGATGCATGCAAAGCTGCTCAAAATTGTACAAGTTTTTAAGACATTCGATACCAAAAACTTCAGTTTTCAACATGAAAAACAGTTTTTCAGCAGAACCAGGTCTAAAATTGTAGGTTACTAGCAAGTTCTCAACTTTCTGGAGATAATTTTAATTACGCTTGATGTTTATGATATCCAATATCCGTACTACTATTTTAATTATTTATGACTATTTATCTTATTTACCGAATGAATGACTCTATAATAACGATTCAGCAAGTGACATTTTTTTCCCTCTACAAGGGGAGAAGCTTTCCGTTTCAGCAATGACAACCAAAAGGCACAATCTTGGAGTTATCTTGTTTACTTGATTTGGCTGCTCAAACATGTCACTTAACTGTAGTGCCATGTCTTCTGCTAGCTTGCTAGAACGAGTTCTACGCAAGGTAGTTGAGAACACTGATCGATAAAAATATCGCTCAGTAACTCATATACCCCCAATGCACTGGATGCTTTAGCAATGGATAATTCTCCTGTTGAACTTATTTCAACAAGGAGCAATTTTGATACCAAAGTTTGAAACTTTAGGCCTACAGTAACATTTTGTTACCAGTCCTTATCTATTATTCAAGTACTTTTCTGGGATGTTTAGATTATACACTGCTGAATATAAGTTTTGTCTTATTAGTGGTGTTATTAAATTTCAATTTATTATTATTAATGTAATCTATAATAACATTTGTGTTCTGTAACTTCAATTTCATTTTTAGAATGTCAGACAACTTTACTGGCGGGAAACTAAAATTCAAGGGTGTTAAAGATGGAAAAGTTAAAAAGAAAAAGAAGAGGAAGCTTAATGAAGATGCCATCAAATTAGAAATAAAGACTGAATCAGAAGAAAACGGTACCAGCACACCTACTTCTGACATTGTCAGTAAACCCAGAAGTTCAAAGACCAAGGCTGAAATTGCATTCTTGAAAACACAACAAAAGCGAGAGGGTGAGAAGATATTGAATAAAGCTCAGACATCCCACAAGGAAAGAGTTGAACAGTTCAATGAACATCTAGACAATCTAATTGAGCATTTTGATATCCCAAAGGTCAGTTGGACTAAGTGAATCCACGAAAGTTCAAAATCGTCAGTCAGATTAAGAGTAAAGATCATGAACTTGTTTGTCAAAGTCGTTATTTTGGAGTTATTTCTAAACATTGTGGCCTTCTTTTGCTTCGTAAAATAAAGATATAAGATAAATGGACAGTCAATACTGATGGTGATGGGCTGAGTTTTTTTCAACATTAATTCGTTTCTAAGAATGAAATTTTGGGAGCCTCTTTTATCTATGCTATTTACCAGCCCATCATTAATATGTATTCAACACTGATGTTTATAACTAATTATAAAACATTTTCCTCTGATGATGAATCAGTTATTTGTGACTATTGTATATGTTCTTTGTTTAATAATTGGTCACAAAGGGTTTCAATTACTATTTTTTGTAAATTTAAAGCAATTAGTTCAATCAAATAACGGAGTAGTTCGCTGTTTATTAGTCTCATGATTGAAATACTGATATCTGGATATTATCCGGTTGGAAGAGACAAGGACAAGTGAAACAAGGAAGTTAGGAGTAAGGGCAAATTTTCGGCGTCAACGCCATCTTCAGGCTAAAATTGTTACAAATGTTAGTATATAATAAATGCTTCTATACTAGTTAAAATGCTAAATTGAAATTACACACACTGAATACAGGTTACATCAAATGGTATTATACATTACATTGAAAATAGTGATGTACACACGTTTTACACTCTGTCCAAGTACATAATATCTACTGAACATAAGGGTCGTGTGCTATTTGTTTAAATTTGTCTTTGAATATGTTGTAAAAGAAATCCCTTAAGCTTCTCACACTCTACATTGTTATTGAATATGAAATAATTTTCAACCGTATTAATTTATTAACTTATTGTAAATAGCAAGTTTGACAAAGGGATTACGTTTATTTTACCCGGAGTTCGTTTAAGTTTAGTATTGTAAATAGTTAATTTGACGAAGGGAATACGTCTATTTTACCCTGAGTTATGTTTTAGTTCAATCTTGACACAATTTTAAAATTATAATTTAATTATTTTATATATATGTATTGTCCATAACTAGGGTGGCCTGCTAACAGAACCATGATCTGCCTTGATTCATCCTTCAGCACAGAGAAAAGCTCCTTTTTATACATTATGATTACAGAGGATCTGATATTTAGATATATATTGCTGTGCTGTAAAAATTGACTTTATTTATTTATTTATTATTTATTTTATTTATTGATACTAGGTTTAAATAAATTAATGTAGTAAGCTTCTGTCACTTTACGTTTAATGGTGCTATTATATAAGTTAATTTCTAAAATATCGAAGGAAATATCTGGTTCTAAGTTATTGTGAAACTCTGAATCAAACTATCAATCTGACAGAAGCTTACTACATTAATTTATTTAAACCTAGTATCAATAACAAAGAAGAGTGCGAGAAGCTTAAGGGATTTCTTTTACAACATATTCAAAGACAAATTTAAACAAATAGCACACGACCCTTATGTTCAGTAGATATTATGTACTTGGACAGAGTGTAAAACGTGTGTACATCACTATTTTCAATGTAATGTATAATACCATTTGATGTAACCTGTATTCAGTGTGTGTAATTTCAATTTAGCATTTTAACTAGTATAGAAGCATTTATTATATACTAACATTTGTAACAATTTTAGCCTGAAGATGGCGTTGACGCCGAAAATTTGCCCTTACTCCTAACTTCCTTGTTTCACTTGTCCTTGTCTCTTCCAACCGGATAATATCCAGGTATCAGAATTAGTTCAATGCCTAATTCTTAGAGTGTAGATATGGTATACTTGATAATGTTTTACTCTGAAAATATGAGTGCAAATCTGAAATTAAATCTATTCCTCACGCTTATTATTCATTAAAAATTCCCCTAGGATGGATGCGTTCCTGCAAGGTAGATCGGGAATAAAGCCAAAAGCTGCTCCTGCTGCTGCCGTACCAGCTACTCCCCAGTTTGTACCATGGGTAGAGAAATACCGCCCTCGTACTGTCAATGAAGTATCTCACCAGGACGAGGTTGTTGCTGTGTTGAAGAAGTGTTTGGAAGGAGATGACATTCCTAATTTTCTGTTTTATGGTCCTCCAGGTACAGGAAAAACTTCAACAATTCTAGCCCTAACACGTCAAATGTTTGGAGTTGAGTATAAAAACAGGGTATTGGAGCTTAATGCTTCAGATGAGAGGGGTATTCAAGTTGTCAGAGACAAGATTAAAAACTTCGCCCAGCTGGCAGCTTTTGCCAAAACCGTTGGTGGCCTCAAGATACCAGGCATAAAAATGGTGATACTTGATGAAGCAGATTCAATGACAAATGCTGCTCAATCAGCATTGAGGCGTACCATGGAGAAATACACTAAAACAACACGGTTTTGTCTAATTTGTAACTATGTCAGCAGAATAATAGCTCCAATCACTTCACGTTGTGCTAAGTTCAGGTTCAAACCACTGGATACCACCGTACTGGATGACAGGATAAAGCACATTTGCAAAGAAGAGAAAGTAACATGTGGTGAAGACGTCATAGAAGTGATCAGGAAAGTGAGTGGTGGTGATCTTCGTAAGGCTATTACCTACCTGCAGAGCAGTGCTAGACTAAAGGTAGACGAGGAGGTAACCACACAAGACATACACGATATAGCAGGGGTGGTGCCACAAGAGGTTGTGGAGCGGGTGCTGGAACTCGCTAAATCAGGAAATTACACTAAACTTCAGCATGGTATTGAGGATTTGATGCATGATGCTTACAGTGCTTCCCAAATATTAGAACAGTTACATGACATGGTGTTGGAAGATGGCACTTTGCCTGATAAACAGAAATCTGTGATTATGGAGGAGATCGCCAAGACGGACAAACGTTTGCTTGACGGTGGTGATGAGTATTTACAGATCATGTCTCTGGTGACGGTTGTTATGTCTCAGTACACTGATTTGTAGTCTAGTTGATGGACATCAATAATGTTAAATTTCAGTATAGCTATTAGCTATGGTATATGCATGTGCCAATTGTCCTATAACATTTTTAATAGTTTTTAAGAATTTGATAATGAAGAACTTCAGGTTAATATAGATTCGTCTAGAAATACAGGGTGGGCCAAAAGTCAGTACCCATACGTTGGCCTTAATAGCTCCGCCGTGTTTTATATTTGAGAGCTGTTGCTTTGCAGATGGCATACTGTACTTACTGGTTCGAGGATTCCGTCGTCAAAATTTGAAAATTCGAATATTTTAGACCACGCCCATTCAATATTAAAACACCTATATTGTTTTCTCTGAACATGCTGAACGCCTAATTTTTTCAGAGACGGTAGATTATCAAATGTTGCATATGATCTGAAAACATGAGGCAAATCGGATTAGAAATGACGAAGTTATCAATCATTTTCTGTATCTCGTTAACAATATTGACTGGGTGATTATGTGACATTGTGACACGACACCTTAATTGGGCAGCCTTCACGATTCCCATAATGTTTAACGGGGTAGTTAACGGGGGCACCTTATCACGTGATTAGGTAAACCAATCACCTGATCACACGTAATGAATAAACTCGTTATGCTTCATATCTCGTCATCTGAGAAGCTACAGTTCTAATTCTTTCAGGACAAACGTAATTCGAATGGCCAAACACAATTCAATAACATTTAGCTTGATCCGACTATCCAAACTATCAAATAAATGTGAAAATGAACCTCCATTTGAAAAAAATGAACGTGAATATTTTTCAAGTTGACAAATTCCTCGAACCAGTGGTGGTACTAACACCCTACGCGCGTGGGGTGGACTCCTGGGGTGGACTTTTATTCAGCGCGTATTTTGTAGCCTGTTCAACTTGACGTTTTGATTCGTTACTATCTCAATGTCACAGATACACAGAATGTGAGGTGATCATCTTAAAGAGAAACGTCTCAGCTTTCACCTGGTGTAAAGTTTATCTTTGTACTCAAAATATAGCTCGCTCAGTGTGCAATAGAAGTTGACAATACAATAACCACGTCTGCGACCGGTCGTCAGATACCGGAGTGTTGCACAAAATTGGGTCCCTAAATTAAAATTCTATGACACAGTTACCATGCAGAAATGTCTGGAGTAACATTTGGTGAAAATTTGAAGGGTCTACTGTAAATATTGCAAAAGTTATTGAAAACAAACTAGCTTAATCAGAAGTTTTTGGGAAAATTTCAAATTTTGTACGTAGTGGGGTCTACAGGGGTGGACTCTTGCGGCGCGCATCTGACGGAGTGGCTTTTTCAACAGCCGTCAGTACGGCCATTATCAGAGCACAAATTATTGTGAGTAAGACCTTAATGATCAGCTATGAACCCCTCACTAGAGTAGTAACCGTATCTAAAAACAAGGAAATGTTATTCCGTCAAAGCTCAAATTTTTTACTCTTCTCAGTGCAGTTAGTGTTACTATGAATGTACTAGCTAAGTATCGTTGATCGTAGCTGCATTACACAGTAGAAAGTAACCAAGGAAGACTGCTGATTAACGAAGCAATTTCAACGTGAACAGTTCCAAAATACATAATCATGGCGACGATAGTTCAACTTGAACCTTTATAGTTTTTACAGTCTAAAATCACAATAAAATCACGTGAACTGCAAATCACAAAATCAAATCACTCAAATCTGATAGTCCCGTTACAGTACGCTTTCGTGACAACCTCAACGCTTAAAAAATAAATATTATCCAGTCTTGTGACCACCGATGGCCCTAACTCTCCCTTGTCCGCGAGGAGCATCGTTGCGACCATGGGGTTTCAGTTCTTTGTTCTTCCCACTCGGCTTCGATAGATCGAATTGGCTGGAAGTCAATCTATCAGAAAGACCTTTGTCGATCTCAGGGGCGTGGTAAATTGTGGATGTCGGAGTATAAAGCTTCCTGAAAAGATTGAGACATTCACTCGGTCTGTTGTAAATATCAAATAGTCCTTGTAGGCAGAGATTTAACTTATGTTGGGTTTGATAACTAGAGAAGGCGATTTGATATTCATTGATAGTATAAGCATATAAGCATAAGTAATAAGTTTATATACCCTTTTTATGGTACCTCGAGGCTCGATATCTGTATTCAGTAATCATCACTCAAAATCTACTTATTAAATTTATTAACTAAACAAGTTAATGTATTACCGTCCTAGAGAGGTTTCCTGAGAATTTGAAGTCTCTGTAGGTTGCTGGCATGTCTACTAAGCTCTTCGATTGAGGAGTTTTGGACCCCTCGGCGGTCCAAATGATTTATAATGCTGTGGGCATTTTCAACATCTATCGAGGTAAACGCCCTCGCAGCATAACCTGTAGAGAATGAACATGTCATCAATGTGAAGTTCAATGATAAAAATCAGAGTGGCCGATTTCAACGGGCAGAATTCTAATATCATGGCCATGGGGAATGGACTATTTTTTGTCGTTTTTGCAAACCAAACTGGCAAACGATTGTTGATTTTCGTCACTAGTCTAAAATGAATGCAAACGTTCGGCCGAACATTTACATGATTAGAAACTTACCGGTTTCTTTCGTTATTATGTACAGACATGGCCGGGCTTGGGTTCCGCATACGATATCTTCTATCAGATTAAAGTTGAACCCACACTTTGTACTGCTCGTGGGAGGAGGAAAGCAAACGGAGACCTTTTCCATGAGCATCTCGTGTAGTACCATCATCATGTCGATTCTGATATCAGCTGCAAAATTCGTCTATTACTAAATGCTAGCTTTTCGAACTTCGTATCTTGGAAATAACAACTTCTATGAAAGAACACACACACACACACACACACACACACACACACACACACACACACACACACACACACACACACACACACACACACACACACACACACACACACACACACACACACACACACACACACACACACACACACACACACACACACACACACACACACACACACACACACACAGACAGATACACACACCCACAAACACATACAGACATAGACACACACACACAGAGACACAGACATACAGGCATACAGGCATAAACACAGACACAGACGGACACACAGACAGACACACAGACAGACACAGTTACACACAGACAAGGACACACAGACACACACCCACAAACACATACAGACATAGACACACAGACACAGGCATAAACACAGACACACACAGACACAGACGGACACACAGACAGACACAGTACACACAGACACACACAGACACACACAGACACACACACATAAACACACATAGTTCACTTCAGTGCACTACATTACAATTACAGACACACGCAGTACAATCAGAGACACACACACGATACAAAGACAGACACAGCCACAAACACACAGAGTACACTTCAGTACAATCACAGACGCAGGCACAAAGACATATACAAGAAGAGCAGATTGAAGTACCTTCATTTGCAGATGTTGACGCATTGATCTGTGGGATATGTTCTTCAGTCTGTAACTGATCATCTGCTAGAACTGTCTCATCTGGATCAACCGGAGGAGTATCTTCCGGCAGGAGTCTGAGTGGGTCTATCGGGACAGCCATGGATCGCTCTCCCTACCTTGTTGAATTAAAGACAAAGGTCAACGACGGATGTCGCATGTTAGTCCTGTAACTAAATGTAATCCAAAATAGTGAATAAATAATTTTTACATCTGAACGATTGTATGTCTGAATGGTGATTTTTAATCAATGAACAAAAGTTCAGGATTTTACCTTCTGTTAAGCTGTTAGCAATGACTCTAGCACCCTCTCCCTACAAAACGACCATATCTCGGTCTGAAGCTTTAAACCGTCTTGCCTCAGCAGCCATCTAGCACAGTCGACCTGTCCTGTTAATTGTGTGATCATCAAGTTACCAAATTTAATCCTTCAATATTCAAATAATTGATTATTAGACAAAACAGAGTTTAGAGCTCGACGTATGCTTCAGGGTTTCACACTGTGCTGTAATCAAACGCATGACTAAAACCTCTTGCTACTATTACCAATAAACCCATATTGTTAAGGCGGTCGAATGATTTACCTGAGTTGATCGCGTCCATGAAAGGGTTAAACTGCGTTCTGTCCAGCTTGTTAATGTCCGTTCCAGCAGCCAGCAGTGCCTCCGCCTCCGTCACTCTCCCTGCTTTGCATGGCCAGTGAAGCGTAGAGCTCCCCTCTAAGCTCTTTGACGATCCGACGAAGGATCCAGATTCCCTTCTTTTCTTTTGAGATTGCTTCAATTCTTCCTGGAGTATGCGGATTACCATTTATATACTTCCATACAGGGCGCGTGAACAATCAGCAATGAATTATCAATTAATCAATCTAGTTTTTGAGTAGAAAGTCCACAGATTGTGATACATTGGATTTGATATTGGAAAAGACATAGCTTACCAAATACCTTTTCATGGGCTTTTTGGAGGACAGGGATGACTTATTCCTGCGTGCCATTACACCATAACTATCTGCTGTAACAGCAAAAATTAGAATTATGTCGGACATAATTCTAAAAAATTGGAACATCGTAGTTAATCAGTGTGGTGCTAACAACAGAGAGCGATTTGAACGGTAGGCAATTTCATAAATTCCATTAACGCGATATAAGGATGATTGGAACAGGCTAAAATCTACTATGTAGCATTGATAACTGGCTATATCGCTGCATTAAACGATAAAAGTATTGCTAACTATGGATATTCTAAGTGATCTAGGCAGAGGGGAACCGGCACAGCCAGATTGCGTTGTCTTCAGTGACTAAGTTTCACGATAGTAAAATTGACCTTATTTATTTTTAAAAAGGATGCACAGTTCAAGCAATAAATCGATCAGCTGCTCATATGATATTTGCATTTAAAGGAGGGCCCAGTGCAGTGACAAGTAAGTCTGTTAAGGCAACATTTAGTTCTGAGATTAGCTGAGTCTTGACAAAGATAAGTTGAGTTTCGAGAAAGTGCACACGGATAAAGTTATCAAGTGAAAATGATAAGACTAAGTTAGGGTCCAGTCAACAGAATGGCAGCTGTAACAGAAACAGTTCATTGGATAGGGGAGTAGGGGATTATGACGGAGTGAAGTTTATATAGCAGGGCAAACAAAAAACAACTGACAGCACTGAGCAAGTGAACTGGAAAATTGAGGAAGGGAAATAACTGTGGTTGTCAGCCCTTTCCGTAGCAATCAGGATTTCCCACGAGATCGATCAGGCAATCAGGATTTCCCACGAGACTGCTCCATCCGATGCGCACACTTTTGTCACGTGACGGCCACGTGACGCTCAAATCTTTGTCACGTGGTACAGAAGGGAGGTTCCTAGAGCGTTGATCTCGACAAGAGGGAGTTTCTCACGGTTTATCTTCAATAACTATCGCTATTTTTATAGTAGAGAGTTGAAACTTTCACCAAATGTTTCCCTAGACATTTCTGCATGGTAACTGTGTCATAGAATTTTAATTTAGGGACCCAATTTTGTGCAACACTCCGGTATCTGACGACCGGTCGCAGACGTGGTTATTGTATTGTCAACTTCTATTGCACACTGAGCGAGCTATATTTTGAGTACAAAGATAAACTTTACACCAGGTGAAAGCTGAGACGTTTCTCTTTAAGATGATCACCTCACATTCTGTGTATCTGTGACATTGAGATAGTAACGAATCAAAACGTCAAGTTGAACAGGCTACAAAATACGCGCTGAATAAAAGTCCACCCCAGGAGTCCACCCCACGCGCGTAGGGTGACTAAGCCATACCAGAAAGAAGTATTCAAATTGGGCACTCAGTGACTGAGCTATAAAGGCCAACGTATGGGTACTGACTTTTGGCCCACCCTGTATATCCCACTTACCTACACTGGCTGCAGATAAAACCATTGCATCAATTGTTGTTTGACAAGTGTGTAAGTTATTGGAGTTGAAGGAATGATTTTCATATTCTCTGCCCTAAATTATAACATAGTTTTTCTCAACATTTATGGACATTTTTCTGACTGATGAAAAGTTTATTTTAGACGATTTTTCCTTTTTATCTATTTGTGAGCAGGTTTTCAATATGTTAATCATATTGTAATTTTCATTGTAATTTTATTAAGAAATTTATATATTATAAAGCAATTCAAATATTTAACTCTTGAATCCTCAATATTAGACTGGCGTATTGCTCACTATTTCACTCCAGTCTATTATGAAGGGTCGTACTTTCATGACGTTTTTCCCAAGATTCAGGGCAAGGGTTCTGAATCTAAAATTCGATTTATATGATACATATTCCGTCTCAATAATAGTCGGGTCTGAAAATAACTATGCTTGAATTATTTGCATTATTTAATAAACATTCAACACAGATAACATCGAATGTCTAATGTCGGTGCTTCACTTCGATAAACACAGCAACACCTTCCTCATCGGTATCGGCGAGAACCTCTACCAGTACTCAAACAACCAGACAACATTCCTGACAAAATGTGGGGAGTATCTGGACATTCCAGCTCCTGAACAAGAGATTAAGGAGAACAAGAGAGCCCCACGTGCCGAGGGAAATGCCTACATAACAGGAGTAGCGTCTTGTGAGGAATGTGTAGCTGTTATCAGCAACAATAAGATTGTGGAGACGTTTAACAGGCAGTTTCAGAAGCAGGCATCTGTTGTGGTTAGTGGTTATAATAATGAGATAATTTGGTTGTTTCCGTATTGTTTTAGTTAGCATTACGTTACACATTTTGTTAAGTTTGTCTGAACCTAGACTAAACAGTATGATTTTTAGACAGGTTGGTATGATCTAGTGAATGGCCCTAGCTTGAACCAATACGATTCCCATTTCCGAACACCGTCTCGGTCAAATTTAAAACTATTGTTGCTCCACTGTTATAATCGAAACTAGTATGGAATCTGTAAATTTTAGCTCATAAAATGATAATCGTCAACTTCCCAGGCGATGAAGCGTCCTACATCAGTGCAAGTGACCAATAAGAACGTAGTTATCAGTGATAAGTCAGGTGATGCCCATTCCTACGATCTGAGTCTGGCCAATCAGAAGTATTTGTTGGGTCACGTGAGTGTTGTCATGGACACGGTCATGACACCCGACCACAAGTTTCTTATCACCTGCGACAGGTTTAATTCTTGAGCTTTGTAAACTCGGTTTATAATTTTGCTTTCTAGGATTAATATTATAGGTAAAATCTTTTCGGACGATTTTTATTTTCTACTGTTTTCTCTTGTATACCTCTCAATAATACCTACATGTACAACTTTTTCTTCTTCTAGTCATAATGAAATATGACTAATTATCACATTTATCAGAAAAACAAAAAACGTTGTTTTCAGAGATGAAAAGATAAGAATATCCCATTTCCCCAACTGTTACAATATCGAGGCCTACTTGCTGGCCCACCAAGAGTACGTACTGAAGATACTTCTCCTCTCTCCAAACACTCTTCTCTCAGTTGGCGGTAAGATGTTTGTTCTGTTTTAAAGATAGGTCACATGTTTCAATGTTTTCTAACATGATATGTTAAGGCGTGTTTGAATTCACACTCAACGTATGACTACGCTAATTGCTAATTACTAATATATGTAATGACCTGATCCTCTAAAACGAGACATATCACTAATACATGGTATTACATGGTAGTACAGTAAAACCCCGATTTACCGCAGAGTTCAGACTAAAAAAGCCGTAAATTAAATTAGGGTTCGCGGTAAATATTGGTTTTGATTGTTCACATTATACATATCATGTTATTAAGCACAATTTAGGTGATACAAATTGGGGGCGTGATTAATCGGGGTTTTACTGTGATACCTTCTAAAATACAACTTTTTCTCATCATGCGCCTCCTTACTACCTCGTACTCATCCTCTGCAATTATATATTTGTTTGTTGTTTGTTTGTTTATAGAACCCGTCCCCAATCTCGTATTGGAAAATGACTAAACTCAATTCTGAGTGTGAATATGGGTGGTACCTGCAAGTGTATTTTGAGTTGCAAGTGCATTTTGGGTTCTGTAAAACTGCAGTCACAATTGTGCTAGAGTAATTTATATATTTAGTGCACCAGTGACCAGTGACCACTACTCCGTGTCTGCTGATAGATTGCCAGTTAAGGCCAGAGAACAAATCTCAAAAATAACATTTTACCATTTTGTTAACTTAACCTCATATTTCAAGAACAAAGGCAAAAATCAAAATTATAAAACATAATGTTTTTGCGTGACACCCCAAAGAACACATGTGCCAAGTTTCAGCTCCTTTTTTTCGCAAAAAAGAGGTTTACCTTTTTTGAGTTTAAGTTAAAGAATTGGATGTCTCAATATTATCTGCAATTAAATGACTCTAAAACTCAGCTTATAGTCTTTGGACCTAGAAAGGTACTAAATGAGATTGAACTTCATGGGGTTGAAATTGCTCCTAAAACATTAGTTATGTTTGTCCCCACCGTTAAGAATCTAGGGTTGGTTATGGACAATCAACTAGTTTTTGATAAACAAATTATAAATCTCAAGAAGAAATGCTTTCATACCTTGCGCAATATCAGGAAAATCCGCTTCCTTTTGAATCTCAAACAGATTAAAGTCATCGTCAACAGTCTAGTGGTATCATGTCTAGATTATTGTAACGGTTTATATTTTGGTATTGGCGAGAAGCTTTTACATCAGCTTCAGTTACTACAAAATGCTGCTGCAAAAGCCGTTACTGGTAAATATAAGCATGACCACCTGGAAGACGACCTGACTAATCTTCACTGGCTGGATGTAAAGAAAAGGATTGTGTTCAAAATATTACTGTTGTCTCACAAATCATTATTAGGGCTCGCTCCAACGTATATTCAAGACATGTTTCGGTACACTCATCATGGTCACACATTGAAACTTATGGTTCCATCGTTCAACTCTAAGTTTGGCGAGCGAAGCTTCTCAGTCGTGGCTCCAAAGATCTACAACCGTCTGCCTACTACCATCACATCAGCTGAATCCCTGGAATCTTTTAAAGCATTTCTAAAAACTTTCTTATTTAAACTGTCTCAGCATGAACTTGAAAAACTATATCAATGACTGATTTTGGCCTATATTTAGTGTTAGTTCTTTAGTTTTAAGTTTCACTCATATGAACGATATATTTTCAAGTATTTGATAGCAGTCCTAACTTTTATCATGATAGTTTCTGGGATGACTAGATTAAACACTGCTGAGTATAAGTTTATCTTAATAGTGGTGTTCTTAAACTTCAATTTATTATTATTAAAGTTTTACATGTAATTACAGGTAAACCTCAATATTCGGCGCGATATCTCAAAAACACAAGGTCAGATTTCGGTCCGGTTTTTTCTTCTTGTTCATCTCCAGCAGCTCTGATCAAATATGTGAAAACCGGAAAAATGATTTTTACCCCCCCCCCCCCCCCCCTCTAGGCTCTGGCCTTGAATTGTCTTACTATTTGAAAGTTTGAGATTATGCCGTCACGTGGCCAAATGTTCTCCTGATAAAGTAGAGGGTAATTGTGTGGAGCTAAATAATAATATAATATAATAACGACTTATTTATAATGGGAGATCGAGATGTGAAATGCTTCAACTTTCGTTCAGAGTGGCAAATTGGAGTGTACTAATAGATATTGCAATATTTTAGTTTGAATACCGCATCAGTGTTAAGTCGGTCTAATCTTTATCCGATATAAATTACAACATTTTGTTTTAAATCTGAATTTTGAATGGCATAATGAGAAGTTAAACGATTTGATTAGTCACATAATAGTTAATTCAAATTTATTATAAGCAAAATTATAGAAATTCCTGTCAGCACACATTATGTTCCATCAATTTTATTGTTCACCTCGAATTCCGATCAGCTACATATATATTTAATTTTTCTCTGAATACATATCATAATCTACGTCAGCTTCCTGTGGATCAGCTTCCTGTGGGGCAGCTTCCTGTGGGGAGGCTTCCTGTGGGGCAGGGACAAAAGGATTTCGCGGTTATTTTGGCCAAAAATCGCGATACCGCGAATTACATTTCGCGGTATATTAAACTATACATAAAATTTGTCCCAAATAATGGGTAAAATCGCGATTCCGTACATGCCGCGATTTCCTTTTGTCCCTGCTGTGGGGCAGCTTCCTGTGGGGCAGCTTCCTGTGGGGCAGCTTCCTGTGGGGAGGCTTCCTGTGGGGCAGCTTCCTGTGGGGCAGCTTCCTGTGGAGCAGCTTCCTGTGGGGAGGCTTCCTGTGGGGCAGCTTCCTGTGGGGCAGCTGTTCCATCTTCCTGTGGGGCAGCTTCCTGTGGGGCAGCTTCCTGTGGAGCAGCTTCCTGTGGGGCAGCTTCCTGTGGGGCAGCTTCCTGTGGGGCAGCTTCCTGTGGGGTAGCTTCCTATGGGGCAGCTTCCTGTGGGGCAGCTTCCTGTGGGGCAGCTTCCTGTGGGGCAGCTTCCTGTGGGGAGGCTTCCTGTGGGGCAGCTTCCTGTGGGGCAGCTGTCCCATCTTCCTGTGGGGCTGCTTCCTGTGGGGCAGCTTCCTGTGGGGCAGCTTCCTGTGGGGCAGCTTCCTGTGGGGCAGCTTCCTGTGGGGCAGCTTCCTGTGGGGCAGCTTCCTGTGGGGCAGCTTCCTGTGGGGCAGCTTCCTGTGGGGCAGCTTCCTGTGGGGCAGCTTCCTGTGGGGCAGCTTCCTGTGGAGCTTCCTGTGGGGCAGCTTCCTGTGGGGCAGCTGTCCCATCTTCCTGTGGGGCAGCTTCCTGTGGGGCAGCTTCCTGTGGAGCAGCTTCCTGTGGGATAGCCTCCTGTGGGGCAGTTTTCTGTGGGGCAGGTTCCTGTGGAGCAGCTTCCTGTGGGGCAGCTTCCTGTGGGGCAGCCTCCTGTGGGGCAGCTTCCTGTGGGGCAGCTTCCTGTGGGGCAGCTTCCTGTGGGGCAGCTTCCTGTGGGGCAGCTTCCTGTGGGGCAGCTTCCTGTGGAGCTTCCTGTGGGGCAGCTTCCTGTGGGGCAGCTTCCTGTGGGGCAGCTGTCCCATCTTCCTGTGGGGCAGCTTCCTGTGGGGTAGCTTCCTGTGGAGCAGCTTCCTGTGGGGCAGCTTCCTGTGGAGCTTCCTGTGGGGCAGCTTCCTGTGGGGCAGCTGTCCTATCTTCCTGTGGGGCAGCTTCCTGTGGGGCAGCTTCCTGTGGGGCAGCTTTCTGTGGGGCAGCTTCCTGTGGGGAGGCTTCCTGTGGGGCAGCTTCCTGTGGGGCAGCTTCCTGTGGGGCACCTTCCTGTGGGGCAGCTTCCTGTGGGGCAGCTTCCTGTGGGGCAGCTTTCTGTGGGGCAGATTTCTGTGGGGCAGCTTCCTGTGGGGCAGCTTCCTGTGGGGCAGCTTCCTGTGGGGCAGCTTCCTGTGGGGCAGCTTCCTGTGGGGCAGCTTCCTGTGGGGCAGCTTCCTGTGGGCCAGCTTCCTGTGGAGCAGCTTCCTGTGGGCCAGCTTCCTGTGGGCCAGCTTCCTGTGGGCCAGCTTCCTGTGGGGCAGCTTCCTGTGGGCCAGCTTCCTGTGGGCCAGCTTCCTGTGGGCCAGCTTCCTGTGGGCCAGTTTTCTGTGGGCCAGCTTTCTGTGGGCCAGCTTTCTGTGGGGCAGCTTCCTGTGGGCCAGCTTCCTGTGGGCCAGCTTCCTGTGGGCCAGCTTCCTGTGGGCCAGCTTCCTGTGGGCCAGCTTCCTGTGGGCCAGCTTCCTGTGGGCCAGCTTTCTGTGGGGTAGCTTCCTGTGGAGCAGCTTCCTGTGGGGCAGCTTCCTGTGGAGCAGCTTCCTGTGGGGCAGCTTCCTGTGTGGCAGTTTTCTGTGGGCCAGCTTTCTGTGGGCCAGCTTTCTGTGGGCCAGCTTTCTGTGGGCCAGCTTTCTGTGGGCCAGCTTTCTGTGGGCCAGCTTCCTGTGGGGCAGCTTTCTGTGGGGCAGCTTCCTGTGGAGCAGCTTCCTTTGCAGCAGGTTTCTTTGCAGCAGGTTTCTTTGCAGCGGCTTTTTTAGCTTTTTTAGCTCGTTTCTCTACCTCAACTTGGTTTCCAGGTTTCTTTGCAGCAGGTTTCTTTGCAGGAGGTTTCTTTCCGGCTCTTTTAACTCGCTCCTCTACCTCAACTTGGTTTTTAGGTTTCTTTGCAGCAGGTTTCTTTGCGGCTTTTTTAGCTCGTTCCTCTACCTCAACTTGGTTTTAGGTTTCTTTGCAGCAGGTTTCTTTGCGGCTTTTTTAGCTCGTTCCTCTACCTCAACTTGGTTTTTAGGTTTCTTTGCAGCAGGTTTCTTTGCGGCTTTTTTAGCTCGTTCCTCTACCTCAACTTGGTTTTTAGGTTTCTTTGCAGCAGGTTTCTTTGCGGCTTTTTTAGCTCGTTCCTCTACCTCAACTTGGTTTTTAGGTTTCTTTGCAGCAGGTTTCTTTGCGGCATTTTTAGCTCGTTCCTCTACCTCAACTTGGTTTTAGGTTTCTTTGCAGCAGGTTTCTTTGCGGCTTTTTTAGCTCGTTCCTCTACCTCAACTTGGTTTTAAGTTTCTTTGCAGCAGGTTTCTTTGCGGCTTTTTTAGCTCGTTCCTCTACCTCAACTTGGTTTTTAGGTTTCTTTGCAGCAGGTTTCTTTGCGGCTTTTTTAGCTCGTTTCTCTACCTCAACTTGGTTTTCAGGTTTCTTTGCAGCAGGTTTATTTGCGGCTTTTTTAGCTCGTTCCTCTACCTCAACTTGGTTTGCTGCAGGTACAGGTTGCATTGCTACTTCTGTAAGACCAAGAGACTTCGACTGGACTGCTATCAGAAGGCAGACAAGAACTGCGATGAAACACTTCATCCTAATTCGCTGTGTGAAATAAGTTGGGTAAATTTAGGGTAAAAGTTGACAAGTTTCATTACAACTGTTAGAGTAATGCCTAACTGAATTATGTTAATTAATGAAATTAAATGTATTATAAAACACAATTGCCTAATAATTGATAAATGTATTTTAAGTTATTGATAAATCTCATGTCGAAACTTATGTAGCTGTGAACTACCCTATCGGACAATTATTGTACTGCATATCCATTTGTTAATTAGCTAGTAATAAAACTCAATGGACCAAGGACCTGTTACATTTAAAATTAATATCGGTTAATGAAATAAAATTCATTTTTTTGATCAACTACACAATATATCAAAAAGAGCGATACCTTGCATAGCCATGTTAACCATTTTAACTATTCTACACAATATGTCTACCATGTTTGCAAAGTGCACGTTGATGGAGAAGGGGGATACAAACTACAGTATGGAAAGAAGTTTGGAATGTATTGTTGATAGAACTATTTGAAACCCTAAAACCACTGCTGCCTGAGAACGCACTTTTCGCAAAACTTTGCACTTAATTCTGAAATTTTGCTTCCTTTTTGAAAGGTTCGTCAGTCCAGCAACCCAGACTCTTAGGACGGCACCTTCTGGAACCTATCGCCAGGTCCAGACCTTCCATCAATAGGATTACAACAAAAAACATACTCATTGTAATCCACTCTCAAGACGTACTGAAAACGTGAAAATCGAAAATAAGTTTAGCACTAAATTTAAAAATGAAATGGTTTAAGTATAACTGTGGTCAGTTTACTACCTCCCTCATCAGATAAACATTTCACGTGTCGCAGTGCTATTGTTTCATATTCTAGCTCAAACTTGGCTCTCCTTCAAAGTTTTATCGGTGTTGGACGTTGGTTTTGTACCGGTAAACTCTTAATTGTTCATGAGCTTTACGTCTTTGTGTTTTCGGAGTCACTCGAGACTTCCCTCATCGCATCATCAACAATCTAATAACCACTAACAACTTACTGCTATAGGGCCAATAAGGCGAGGTTTCTTGACTACCACCACTATTGTGCGCCAACTAATTATATCCATTTCATCGGTGTGGATGTGATGAGGAACAGTTTACACCAGCTTCAATAGTTGTATGTACAGCAATGCACTATTGAACCAGGCCGCGCTTAAAATAATGCTTATCGCTACCAAAAAGATAGTAAATTCACGAACAGAGATATATTATATTGGCTCTATAGTTTTGCACAGGCCTTTAACATTGCATATGTAGACGTAGTTACCTATTTGTTCATATAATGCAAATTCTTAAACTTATGTCATGCAATAATGTTTGAACAGCTTTCCAACACAAAAAAATCTACCCAATCAAAGAGTATTACCAGTCAAACACTCACCTCTGGTCAAGTAGTAGAGTAGCAGTAATATCGAAAGATAACGTTTTAGTTGACAGTAACAGTTTCCCTGTGATTATGTGACAGTGTGATAACTAACTGTAACAGTGTGATAACTAACTGTAACAGTGTGATAACTAACTGTAACAGTGTGGTAACTAACTGTAACAGTGTGATAACTAACTGTAACAGTGTGATAACTAACTGTAACAGTGTGATAACTAACTGTAACAGTGTGATAACTAACTGTAACAGTGTGATAACTAACCGTAACAGTGTGATAACTAACTGTAACAGTGTGATAACTAACTGTAACAGTGTGATAACTAACTGTAACAGTGTGATAAATGGCTGTAACAGTGTGATAACTAACTCCTCCTCTCCCTACAGGTGATCAGAACCTCCTCCTCTGGGACCTAACATCAAAAACCCTCCTCCAAACCGTCTCCAGTACCAAGGGAGACTTCACCTCCGTCACCTACACTTCCCCCTACCTCATCACCTGCAACCTCAGTCACGTGACTGTTTACAAACTTACAAACAACACTCTAGCACAAGTATCAGAGCTCACTTTAGACCATGGTATTGTGAGTCTAGCAGCGTCGGACAGTCACGTGGTTGTTCTGACAAGGAAAGTACCGAGCACAAAGTTAGCATTATATCAGTTTAGCGAGGGGGTGATGTCAAGTTTGGGGGAGATTGAGGGTGAGTTTGATTTGTCTAAATGTGTGGAAACCCCGCTGCCTGAGAAGATTAAAACGGGGAGGACTGCTGGGTTTGCGGGCTATTTTGAGAGAAAAAGGAAGAGGATAGAGGAGGAAGCGCTCAAGGAAGAGACGAGACAAGTGAAATTAAATAGTTGAGATGTTTGGGATATTTTTAGCGGTTTTGTTTATGTGAAGTTGAGTTCATTATATTGTACTGATGTGGTTTTACTAAATTATAATTTATTAACACAGTTATAATGATTCTTTTATTCAGTTATTCATTGAGTATTATTTAAAATGCTAATGTCATTGCCTATTCCGCCATATTCTACGGATATCCTTGCTCTCCAATGTCTCCATTTCATGCAAACAAACAAAGGATCATGCCTAATTTGTGACAATACCGTTCTTTCTTTCATTATTCGTTAATCATATAATTTCCCCAGAATATGTCCGACACAGAAGCCACCCCCACCACAGCAACAGAGGAACTGGTCCCGGAAGAGACACCCGAAGAAGTAGCAGAGCCACAAGAGGAAGAAGCTGCTGAAGAAGCAGAACCAGCAGAAGTAGAAGAAATCCTTGAGGAAGAAGACCTCGAAGAAGAAGAAGAAGAAGAGGATGAATTGACTGTAGACCTGGATGCTCTACCCAAGATGAAAGTATCAGAGTTGAAGGACATATTGAAAGCATTAGACCTCCCCACATCCGGTATCAAGACGACCTTGATCGAGCGAATACAGCTTCACTTCGCAGAGGAAGACAAACAGGAAGAAGAGGCAGATGATGAGGTTGAGGAAGTTGAGGCTGAAGTGGAGGAGGCTGACGCAGAGGAAAGCGAACTGTTAAAGGAAAACCAGCCTGCTGCTGAGTATATTGAGGTTAAGAAAACCGAGGAGACGACTGAGGCTGCAGAACCTGAGAAAGAGCTGACTGACGATGATAAGAAGAAAGCAAGAGCTGAGAAGTTTGGTTTGCAGACAGACGACGAGAAGAAAGAGGTACGGGCAGCTAAATTCGGCATTGACACTGATACCGCCGTTGAAGCTAAAAAAGAGCAACGTGCTGCTAAATTCGGTGTTGCAGCAGTAACCAAAACAGCAGGGGCAGACAAGAAAGCAGAACGAGCAGCTAGATTCGGAAACGGAACTACCACCACCACCACCCCGAGCAACAACAAGTTATCAGTATCAAGCGAGGATAAAACTGTTGAAACCGAGAAAATGAAGAAGAGAGCCGCGAGATTTAATCTGGACTCTCAACCAGCCGCCAAAGCGGTTAAACTAGACGATATTTCAGATAAGTTGAAAGAGAAAATAGAGGCTGGATCCACTAAGGTTGATCTGAGTGCAGCCGGTTTGAGTTTGGAAGAGAAGAGGAAGTTGAGGGCCCTCAAATTTGGAGCCTAATTTTGTTCTTAAATTATTCGACTTGACATATTTCCCATAATGCTACAGTTTGAGACCAACAGTTTTTTAAAAGCTTTATCCAGGTCTTGATTGCATACAATATTGTTTAATGTAAGCTGTAAAAGTCAGATGACCTGATGAACTTTACCATTTTACATTTAAGAGCGCTATTTTTCAGCTGATCGATCGATAATGAACAAAACCGGATGTTATATTTGTTATTTTTACAGCAGATTTACTCGTGAGTTTTTCTTTGCTATGACAGTTCTGGAGATTCAAGAAAGAGGTGAAAATTTAAACAATAATTGGCTTTACATCTGTTATTCGAAGGAAAAAGGCGGGAATAGAGTATTTTAACGTCCGGCGCATAAATATAAACGTATAGTCGGAGAAAGCTGTCAATCCTGGCCGTGCGCGCGGCTTACAATATTATGGATGCGTAAGTGCACGTACTCTCTTTCTTTTTTCTCCGGATGGCAGGCTTCATTCTGCACTCTTCACTCTTGCACATGTGACATGTGACCTCGATCTTCCATATTGCATTGACTTTACCTTCAATAGAAGCTTGATAGCGTTTCAGGTGTTGGAAGTATGTAAGGAGTTGTTCACATATTACGTAATCAATATTATAACAATTTTTACCCCCTCCGTTACATTGTTCCGTTCAGCTCAATGACCATCCCAAACTCATAATACGGAGTTCTATTCTGTACACTGTAAGTCCCAATGGTCGGGCTAGTGTATCACTTTAGAGTACATAATTGTGGCTCTAAAATATTGTCTTTTCAGAGTCCCATTTAATTGTGCGGGGTATGGCAAATTTTGCATTAAAATTAGTGATGCAAAACATATGGAACATGTGAGTCGCGCCTATTATATATGGTCTATGCACTACTATACAGGCAACGTTACGCCACTGAGCCTGGAGCCAAACACCATTACATCTCGTTGTCGGTTAAGAACACAACAATAGCAGAACTGAACATGTTTGCTTTCGTAATCGACCAAGGGATCAGCGGTGTGGGACCATGTAATCATCTTTCGTATCAGTACATCAGACTTGTACCGTGAAAGTATGAACGTCGACCATACTAGTGTGTACTGTAGTATTATTATAATTGTTATCGATTTGTTGGTTGCGCGCACGCATGTGTCATGTGACGTACGTGCGCGCACAACTGATCTAATCACGTGTTGCGCCACTATTTCTAATAATTATATGATGGCGCGTTACAATTGTAACTTTGTGTAGACTTCGTGAATAGCCCTCTTCGTCATCTTCAGCCAGAAATAGTAAAATATACTTTTATAATTTGTAACCAGATAAAGAAGTTGTTACATACAATTTAATCATTCATGAAAAAACAAGTATCAAAATTAAGATTATAACGATAGAATAGTCAATAGAATAAGATAACTGACAAGATTGTCCACACAAATAATGTCTCCTAGAAAAAAAAACTCGGTCAAAGCACTGCAATGGAAATTAAAAAGGGGAAAAATGTCCAAGCTAACCAAAAACACAAATTAACAAAAAAAAACAAACAAATAAATCATCATGCTATTGACTGATTGTTGATAAATTTGTCAATTGAAAATGTAGCTGACTGTAGTTGAGACACTAAATCGTCAAGTTGTGCAGGACTGCAGTAGAAATGTAGGGGTTCCTTGTCAGTTAATAGTTGTATGGAATATCGTGGTCCAACTGCACTTCCACCGTCACCTGAAAATTATATAATGATTGTTAACTGAGAAATAGATTTAAATTGGGTTGATAAAATGTATTTCTTCAATTTTTTTTGTTTCCTTGAACAAATACAGATTAATAATACAAATAAAATATGAAAAATTTTACTTATATAATGGCATGATAACAGCAAACATTTGTTCAATTAATCAACAATTCTTGTTTGTCATTACTTGATAGAGGGTATGATGAATACTAAACTGATTAGATAAGATTAGATAGGATGAACATTGAACAGTAATACTGATCTTCAATTAATACACATTTCTACGAATGAGACAAATTAAAATCAGCTGCCCCGATACTAACGACACTAATTCAGACTCTGTGTAGTCGAGAGAGGCCTAAATTGCGAGAGAGGCCTAAATTGGGTGCCTTATAATCATGCCAGACATTTGTATCTAGACCTGCACGAGCTCTTTTGTAATGTTATGGGCCCTAAACGACATTCGATAGGCCTATAATAATCTGAGACCTATTTCCAGAGTTTAGGGAGTTGCCCCTAGATCAGGAACAGAATTTTATTGTGGTTGGCATATGTTTGCTCATTTCATGAGTGTTCCTTTGAGAGATGATAATATCTATTTTATCTTAATCGCTTTACTTTTTACTTCATTTTGATTCTTTCTTTCTCTTATAATGATTAATGAGGTGTTGTAAACATGTTGTAAACGTATAATAGTACACTGCAATTAGTTACTTTTATCCCTTTTTAAGTGTTAGTGTTCACATATTATTATGTATAATTAGCTCAAAAACGCTTACAGTCATTTCTCCAAAATAGCTACAGAGGTGGTCGAAATGGCCAAAATTTGGCTTGCGTAATATGTGAACGATCCTTTACAGTTTACGCATATCTTTTGCCATCGTTTAGTGATGTGGTTCATGCCTGGTTACCGTTACTTCCGATAAGAACAATACTTCCATCAACTGAAGATAACAGTACTTATCTCTGTTGTTGTCCACATTTTTGGGATTCTAAATTACTTGACTTTATACGTCAGCGTTATGCATCGATGGTTTAATCTCAGACGCAGAAGTTCAATTCTAGCGTTGAATGTTAAAAGATAACGGGTACTAATGAGCTGTTCTTGTTTACCACTTCTCACTGCAGAAACGGAAACGATAGATATTGCAAACTGTTTGTTTCCTTATATTTTCATGACAATACCAAACTAAAACACAGAGAGATCACTCTACCAATTTCCATTCTTTTCATTTAAATCATTTGGCCACCGATTTCGATTGTTTCCATTTAAAGGTTAAATGTAGAAACTGCTATCACATGAAACGTGATACAGCTAACTATCACTACGACATAAGCCCTGAAACAGTGCAATATTCCAATAGATCGCTATATTAATCGTAATATCAGTATCTATTACGAGACAATATCCTGGTCATGTCACCTACTAATAGCCCTGTCACGTGACTAATTACTGAGTAATCCACAGCTAGCAATTGTTAAGGAAACACATGCCGATAACTAACACTCGCTCTTCTGATCGTATGTTAAAGTTATTTTTTCTGCTCTGTTTGTACGTTAGTGACAATGGAGGTGCTTTAGATAATTGGATCGTAACAAAGAAATTATACGACTAATAGGAAGAGCTTCACACAAAGAGATTTATACGTAATGTTCTTCATTTTCCAATTGCTAATTATACTGCTGTTGTTACCAGTAACAGTTGTATTCTTCATTGCCGAATGATTACTGACTGGCAGCAGTCCGACAGTGTTCTATTTTTGGCTCCTTTCTTATTCCTCGATGAACGGTCCTTAGTTGAAAGAATGCTGTGCATTCATTGGATGAGCGCATCAAAAGTTGACATTTCGTACATGGAAGCAGTTGAAAATTGACGTTATTTGATGTTAAGTTTTTGTTAACTGTCATTGTTAAATTACGTAGTTTACTTACTATGTAAAACATAATATAATGCATCATTAGCTCACTTCACTAGTGTATTAATTATATCCGCCTAGTTTTTGGGAGGAGGGTGTGCAAGTTCTATAGACGTTTCGGCAATTTCGGTATCTGATATTGATTGAAGTTAGTTGACTATTGACTATGATAATTGTCGATAAGAGAATGGTCAAGATTTAAATGGTCAAATTGTTGAAGGAATTAAGATCTTAGTATCGTTTCATCATCTCTATTTTGGTTCATCATTTCCACGGACATTCTTAAAAATTCGAGTGGCAAACATCAGGTAAATCTGTTCAGTTAAATTGTGACCGTTGCCTTGACATTGTAATTAATGGTAATTCGACTATGAAACATGTTTGTTCCGCTCCTATACTATGGAGTATGACAAATTAATTCAATTATGGTTAATTATGTTAATGGTCATAGTTAATTGCTATTCATACTGTGGTTATTTGATCACAACCAATTAGCAAAACGGCCCCCTCCGTATTAGCAACGTAATAAAAGCGTTAACTTCACTAACAGGGTATATTACTGGTATCCGCCCAGACGTTCACTCTAATAATGCTGTAATCTATAAATAGATCCATGCTATTCTATAACAGCTAAATTCGCTAAATTCGTCAGCGCTTTTCTGGCTAATTAACGCCGGTGGAGGGGAGTTTTGTTGTGCTTACTGTGTGCCACCGTTTTTCACATGTTCAACGTTGTTTAACATTGTTTTTACCTTGCGTTGTGTCATATTTTAGAAACAGGTTTAACACCTGTCTAATCCTCAGTCTATTAAGAATGAATTTAACACTAAGTATTGTAGGTAGTATAACGTGCTGAAAGATTACTACTCAATGAATCTTCAATTTGCGTTTGACACCGTGATAACTCTGATATCTCTAATAGCAATTCGTAAGTATTCACTCAATATCCTAAATTTCAATATCGTAAGACACTTTTAGAATATCTCTTCAATCTTCATGATATCAACAATAATCTCCACTTTCTTTTGAATTAAAACTCATTCCTATTGCTCTGATCTCTACACCATTTCAGTTGCAAACGCAATCGTGTTCATACTAGTGATCAAGAAGAAGAAACTGAAGCCTCACACCTACATTGCAGTTCTAGCACTGATAGATTTCAGCACAGCAGCCCTCTTTCTTACCCTCCACTACCTCAAACAGTGCACCGCAGCACTTTACGTTCTAGGTCTGCTCTCACGGCTCAGCTTCGTCCTGCTCACTGTTATCTCTTGGGAGCGGTACAGCGCAGTGCGGTTCCCTCTTCACTACAGACCATCTTATCACAGGTTCTGGCAGATGATGGCGTGGCTGCTGGTGCCACTGGTGGTGTTTGTGGCACTGTACACGTGGGGTATGAGCAGAAACCTGGGCCGGCCCCACTGGGAGGAAACTGTGGGCATGTGCATGTTGGCCGAGTTTAAACAAGGTTTGGAGACCAAGATCCTAGAGACAACCTCACTTCTGTTCCCCATACCACTGTTAGCTGTTATGATCTACTGCTACACTTATATTTTTAAAGAATACCGCCGGCACATTACCCATCCAGTGCAGCGTGCAGTGCACCGCGAGGAAGCTAAAGCCTCCATGCACTCTGGAAGTTCTTCCCAGAGTCTGAATAAAGTGGGAGGAGAGCAGTTCAACATTTTCGGACTTCAACCTGGAGTTTCACCGCGCTCCAGCATATTTGGAGTTCAACCTGGGGTTTCACCGCGATCAAGTCTGTTCGGTATGCAATTCGGCACTTCTCCGCGTTCAAGTCTGGTGATTCATCGCACTCTACCTGGTCCGTCTTCGCTCTCAAGTTTTAACCATACTCGAGCCAATAAGAGTCGATCACTCTCTCCCACTGCAGCTCGGGACATCAAGGTAACACTCGGCAGAGAGCTCTCTTTGAGAAACAACCCTCAGATGACACTAAAACGAGAGAGGTTGAGGCACTCACGATCAACCGAGCCAAGAGTGCGGTCCGCGGAACAAGTGGACCAGTACATCGGGGATCTGGAGCGGAGGAAGCAGTTCAGTGTTGCTATATCACTACTTACGGTTATCTTGTTCAATCTGGTCACGTGGCTGCCCTACTGTGTTAACTACCTCTCCCTGACACTGGATTTTGTGGAGTCAGTGAAACCTCTGGCTAGCGCTATCATGTACAGTTTCCTTTACCTTTCAGTGGGATTCAACACTATCATATACTCGTCTCGGTGTAGGGATATCAGGGAGGAGTTTGTAAGAGTGGTAGGTAGAATGAAGATTGTGGCGGGGAGAAGACAGAACGAGAATGTTAGAGTTCTGGTTACTCCGGATAAGAATCATCACATGGTTATTGATGAGGTGGAGTGTAGTGGTAGTGGTAGTAAGTCCGTGTGATATGAGCTCTGTGTGTTTAGGTTCAATTAAAGTTAGTGAGAAATAGGATTTATTGTTGATTTGTTAGTTCGTCATGTTAACGTGTATTTACGAATTATTGAATGACTATTAATGTAAAGCTGATATACTTCCCATCTGATACAGTGATTCAACACAGTAATATATTTTCTTCTATATTCTTTTATTATTGTTATTATTTTTTCCATATTGATATTTTCTATACTCAGTCGGCTCAGTTTGTTTTGGTCCGGGCCTTGCTTGCTGGCCCTGCCATGGCTCTCTAGCTTGGGCAGGTTTGACTTATATATTATATATAATATACAGTAATATATTTCTCTACAACACAACTGTTGAATAATTTCTAGCTACGATTAGAGAACAATACCATAGTTACTAGTCAACTAATAAAAGTCTCTAAAATATCAACTAACCTCTAGCGTACTCTAGTTTCCACCTCACATCAAGAATGGACCCAGTTCCCGGTTTAGTGCCGGCTAACACAGACTTAAGGGTCAAATGTTTGACCTTGTGGGATGCCAGGAATCTAGATACTCGCTCCGGAGGGAGCTGCAGATCCTGCAGAACTTCCCCGATTGTTCCTGGGTTCACGTTCCTTCTACACGCCTGGGAGGGGGATAGTTTCAGGGTATAATTAATTAAGTGATTAATTAATTAACGATATTTCAAATATTCCGGAATTAGTGGCAGGCGCATTATAACCAGAGTGTTTTATAACAAAACTCAATACCTGACATCACAATATGGAGGCGGAGCCCGACAGCAGGGCTCGTAGAAAATGTTATCAATGTTAAGACCATGAAATTCTGAATTTTGTTCTGGACGATTCTAGAGATTCTAGAGTTTTAAATTGTCTAATCAGAACCAAAACAGGAATAATTTGTCAACGAACAGAGCAAAGATTCTGTTTTCCGCATCATAATGGCCTACAACCATAAAACTTCTATTAACTATTTCAATGCCCTTTGTCATAAGTCATAAAATTTGTCACATTTTTAACACATTTTTAAGACACGCGGTAAACCACTAGTTAGTAATGTCATAATAATATGAAGTCTTTAGAATAATCTAGAACCATCTGTGTCATTAGAGACGATGGTCGGTTATGTTATTAAAAAGGCTGGTGGTGATTACCTCGGATATGAACAGCATCAAACTGTCCACGATTGCATCTTTTTGATTGATTTCGAGACGTTTCATCAGCTCCTGAAAAAGCACTTTAGACAACTCAAATCTAAATATAGACGACTTGAACTACAATATTGAAGTTTTATCAGGTCCTTATATCAAATAAGGACACATTATATCAGTTTTGCACCATTTACAATTTCAACACCACCATTCACAACAATGCAAGAAAGTCTTTTAACAGATAAATTATTGACTAATAGGTGGCGTTATAGCTACATAGCTAGTTGAAAAAGCTACAAAATCATATTAGATAGAAAATAACAAGTTAAAACTCAGCAAAGAACAGAAGTGGGCAATATCAGAGAGGTTATGTAAATTTGCTGTGACACGTGGCAGCGATTACACGATCAGATTTCATCAACAACCATCCAAATCCCAGTGTCATTGTCACGTGTCAATAAAACCTTACACCACCTCGCCACTTCTATTCCCTACATTAAACATGTAGCTTAACAAGAACCAAAAGAAGCTATCCAATTACCTAATTAGCTATATAATTACCTAATTAGCTTGCTAATTACCTAATTAGCTAATTCTAATTACCTGAGTGGTAGTTTTACCGGAGAGGGTATCGTAAACTCCATCCACAACACTAGCGAAACTAGTGTTGTCAAGCTCTCCAAGACTACACAACCCGTCCAAAACCACGCTTGGTATTTCCATGGTAACCAGAGGTATTCCTGGTATGTGCTACATTGCTGGACTGAGGTTAGCTGGTGAGAATTGTGTGGGAAAAGGCTATGATAAATGAGAAAGAGTCTCGTTCCAGAAACACATTTATTTCAATTTCTAAGTAGACGTAGCGCTATAACTTTGTGTTAATTTCAGAGAGTGGACAAGAGTAGGTTCGTCTCCGTCAAGATATCATAACTAAGTTACAAACATTGATAACATTTAACCCATTTAAATATATTCATCTGATTATTATAGAGCAATGGAAGTTTTGGCTCAGAAGCTCACATTTAAGGGATATAACGAGCCCGTACCCCGAATGCTGGTACTAAAACTTCCTATTGTAAATTTAAAAGGGCCTCTCACAAAACTGCGGAGTGAAACTTGAGAAGCGCCTTAGTCTGGAACATGTAGACTCGCCATGTTGATTCAACTCCTCTAGATTGAGCAGTGTACTTATTGTAATCTTATACGCGGAATAAAGTTGGCATTTACAAGGTCTAAAACAATGTTTAGGGCTCAGGAATCAGGATTATGCACAGTAAATTTAGGTCGCACGAAATTCCATGAGAGTATTCCATGAGAGACATGAGAGTATGGGAAATCAATTTGTTATGTCTCTACAATAAATATCATCATCTCTAATAAAAAGTAAATTATCTTGATTATGGATAAATAACTGTTTTTAAGCTGTCCGTGTCTTCGCCGTTCGATAAGCCGTTATTGGCGAGAAAATCACATACTTTAAGTAATTATTTCTTCAGCACAAAGTATTCCTACGCAACGAAGGAGATCTATTGCAGTGGCAGACTTAAGGGAACGGTTAGTTTAGACCACGTCATCCAGATTCAGAAGTGTCTGACACGTTTTTATCAAATGTTAGCAAAATTGGGTCTGTGCCAAAATTAGTTTTTAACCAATAAAACTTGCAATATATTTATATAAAACTTGTATATAAATATGGCCATTCTGATCATTTTGAGCCAATTCAAAAGTCATAATGAATAACGATGTCCAGAAGCCGCGCAACTATAATATTTAAGATTATTTCACAAAAGGGCGTGGCCAAATGGCGATTTTCCCGGTTTGAATTTTTTCGATTCTAAAGAACTTAGTCAATAATCCGTGTTAATTGGTTCTTAGAAGTTAGAGTTACTCCAATTTCCCACGGTGCTGCAAGCTTGCGTGTTAACTACTTGATGACGTATATTATAGTGGTCGGACCACGTGGTTCCCCCAAGTCTGCCAGCCACCTATTGTGAAATAGGGTGGCTGGCAGACTTGGGGGATTTATTTTCGGATTTGAAAAGTTCTTGAGCAATGAAACTAATTTGTTTGTAAACCATTAACAGAAATGTTATCAATATTACACACTTTGTTATGTTACAAGCACTGATCGGATTAATTGCTGTTAAATATCATAAAATCTAAAAATTTATCTAAAAGAGATTTAAAAATAAAATCCTTTTAAATATGACGCATTCACTGTTTGCGATGAATTACTTCGCCGCTCAGCGGTTAGTATTATTCGTTGGCGAAACCTTACAAATTTAGTTCCCATAATAAATTATTATCCAATACAAACTTTTGTTATAGAAAAAAGTAACCATTTTGTTAACATTATGAATCCATGATAAATCTGTATAATACTCTAGTCTCTACAATGTTTTATTAACAGCATATTCCACTCAATATCAACACGCCCTGTGTCTAAAACGATAGAGTTCGTGTAAACCCTTCCGTAAAATTCAATTATAGTCTGCTGATCTGTAATTCTGGAAAGCAAATAAAAATCTGGTCGTTAACAAAATGTAAAAAGATTATCGCTGACAAAAGGTATGTCAACAATAATAAAGTCAAGATTTCACTGAACGGAATCAGAAACTGTCTTTAAATAAAAGTCTGAAAGTTAATAAATCTGGTAACAGGGTGGGGGATAAGAAAATATTATTCAGCAGGGTGGGGACCTCGAGTCATTTCTCACACAAGTATCTGCCGCAAACTTTTGGTTACTGTTGGTAACTGTGGTTACTGTGGTAACTGTTGGTAACTCGTTAGAAGTAACCAAGTTAACTCTTGGTGAGTCGCTGACAACTGGAGTCTTTAATTGTACAAGTAACCATGTAAACTAAAAGTTACTTTTGGTAACTGTTGGTAACTCGCTAGCAACTACTCTCGCTTCGTCCAGGACTACGAGAGTGCCCAGAGATAACGTCCTCTCTACTCCCCCTGTACGATGACACAACTGATCCTGCTAGCTGAGTGGGCGTCACTTCTATAGCGTTCTGGTAGAGAGCATCGCTTGCTGGACTCTGATTCTCGTAGATTCTATCATCTACTGGACTGTGGTTGGCTGGTTCTGAGTCACGTGCTGGACTGTGGTTGTCACGTGGGGTGGACAGAATGTTTTGATTGGAGTAGACGTTCTCCACTGATATATCACCAGAGTTGGACTTGTAGGCGAACTGTTTATCGTTGCGGAGCATCCCCTCGCAGATTTTCCCGACACTCTGAAAATTAGCAGTCAGTTAGTATTCAGTCAGTAATAGTATTAGCAGTTGTAAGAGTAATTACTAATCGTTGTAAGAGCAGCTCCTGGTATAGGAACTAATGAGTAGACGTCCAAGAAATTATATTTTGTCTAAAAAAGAACATTTTTTCCGGAAAATCAAAAGCTCCTCAATAACCACATTAGCCCAATTTGTTGGCAGTTAGTCATCAGTCGGTAATGCTATCAACAGAAGCTTTCAGTATCAGTTAGTAATAATATTAAGAGCAACTCTTGCAACTAATGACTGCATGTCTTATATTTTGTCTAAAAAGCAACGTTTTTCTGGAAAATCAAAAGCTGGGCACCTCAGTAACCAAATCACCCTGGTTGCCTTAAGAAGTTAGGGGCAATGATCTACTGATGGGCAATCGATATGTGCCGACATTCACCTTTTCGGGGCACTCCAAATCTTCCAAATCTGTGCTGTCGACCAATTTCCGCAGCAAAATTAATAACTATGACGCACAAAAATTCAATCCTGGGAGTTAAGGTCACGAGTTCTGTACATGCTTAATTCATGTTTCTTCGTGGCTCCAGTTCATTGTCTCAATGTTTAGCCCAACTGTTTCGGAAATAGTTCACCCGAATTTTCGGAACAGAAAATTCATAAAAAATTCCTGACTTACAGATAAAGAGCCATTTATAACGAATTCTATGAAATAGTGTCAGAATTCTACGTATCGTCTAGTTCCCCACATTGAGAGAGGTCAAATTGACGCATGCCTAGATTTAACGGAGACAACTGCAAATGCCCGATGAAAGCCCCCTCACGTGCATAAGACCACCCCAATTCAAGCGGACAGGTTAGTAGCGGAGAAGGGGCGTGGAGTTTGATCTCCGACTGTTAACTCAGAGTCAACCTGTACCACCTAGTTCACACTTCACACTCCAGCAATTATCACAGTGGAACTGCCAGCAGATCTTCAGATTTAACGGCATGAGTTCTGGTGGTGCACCTCCAACATTTGAGAGTTCTATCGGCAGACAGAACAATGAACAATGCAGACATAACAATGAACTTTGGTTATTATAATCAGCGGGAAAATATAGTTCGGACGACTGATTACAGTTTCCTTGAAACCTCACCCCTTTCTGAAGTCTGTACAGTGTACCCCAATAACCGAGCATAACCCGCCCACGTGCAACTCACCCCACCAAGTGCAACTCACCCCACCACCCTTCACTGCACATCAATAATTGTATAATAATTACAACTACCACCATAATACCTGGAAGGCAGGTTTCCAGTCCTGGAGATATTCCGTGTGGTATGGTGTTGTGACCTGGTCTCCGTTACTTGAGCCTGATCCCAGCGAGCTGAACGCACTATCCTGATCACCTGGTGGAAGTGGTGTGGTGATTAGTTAATAGGTTTAATTAAGAGGTAATTAGTTAATTGGTTTAATTGAGTAATTGAATAGGCCCATGTCAGGGTATCAAGAAGTGATGGGTTGATGAGAAGCTGGCTGGTCATGAAATATTGGAAAGTTTAAGTAATATTATAACCCCATACGAGTGTAACCGTTTATTATAAGCCGGCTTAAAAACACTTTGAATCTTTAGTCTCAGCTACTCCCTTCTAACGATGTTTATTCTAGCTATGTAAAAGGAAGTTAGAACCGAATTATAGCCAGGTACATATTGGTTCTCCTTCAATTTCTTATCCCTTCTACTAGGTACTGAATAATCTTAACTTAAGTAAATAAATCCGTAATAACTCGTAAATGTTTGGATCTTCCGAGCTACTCGCGTCAACATCCAAATTGAATATTTCTCCTCCATTAAAATTAGCCAAATTGAACGGTGCACACCATTGCTACATCACGATGATTTGCACATCAAAGCAGGGGTATCATTACCAATCTGTTGAAATCTATAAAACTCAATCTTCCTATCGATCAGTGTCACTCAGCCACTGTAACACTGTATCTAGACCGGTACGAATGACTTAGTATATCGGTTACCATTAACAACAGGTTACCATTAACAACCTATAATTTTGCACAGGTTTGTCTGAGGGTGATCTCAAGAAGGAAAGAAGGGAGTTGACCCCTGCAAATGATCAGATCAGTAATTAATGAACTTCAAATGAACTGTTGGTACGAATAAACAACTATTTAGAGTCTCCTGGTATGCGTTTAAAGGAACAAATTTCTATTCAACTTATTCATACTCTTGTCTAATTCTTAGACTACTTTCTTATCTCAATGTGATAAACGTGGATTAGTAGCATGATCATTCAAATAAAGGCTGTATAAATGAGTATTTAATCTATAATTCAACCCCTAACAACTTCTACAAAATAATTGCTACCGAAACATTAGGGAAATAACGCTTTACATTGAAACGCAGGACATTTCAGACATCTTAGATTTAGATGAAGATTCTTTACTTTGATGTGAGTTCTATTCAGGGTTGACAGATGGAATTAGAGGGGTTAATTTCGTGTCGGGGACAGGATTAAAATATAGGGTATGGCGGCGCTGTAGACTGTAGAGAGGGTTAAAAAGGGCTCGGTCACGCGGAGCTCACTGGGATTATTTAAATAACGAATATTCAGTTAACTTGTCGTTGACTCACTATAATAAAATTATTGTTTGTTTTATCTAGGAGATTATGTGGTTTATGTGAATATGACAGACGAAAGTGTATTATAATATCCAATATTGCAGACATTACCTCTGATGAAAATTAATATAAACTCTGTCATGACAAACCCATCTCAGTTAGACTTTAGTTTACTTAACCAGTAGTCGAGACACGAATAATAATCAATCCAACTAATCCATAGAAACGAAACTGAAATCCAAATCAGGATCTATTGTGTTTCCTGCAGTGGGGTCTGGACAGTAGTTTCGTCCAGAAGTAGTCGGTATTAAAAAATTAACAAAAACATCCATTAGCTTCCAGTACAAACCTAAAAAATGATTCGATTTGTCGATAACGCTGACATCGTCATCTATATCTGCTAACTTGTTGAAGAGATTATGAGCGTCAATAACTGCGTCACCTTCACCACCTCCTGCAATATTACACAATATTAGTATAACATAATATAACATTAGCTGGTCGCCAATGGCAACGGTGCAATATTTACCTAGTCAATGAGCTATTTACATGGCAAAGTAGAAGGTAAGTTAGAAAATGTATGTCAGGATAATTTTCCGCTATCAAGGATGCTGGAAGCCTTTATGTTCATGATTGGTCAAAGGGTGTAAAATTGTTTGAATAATTTATCAAAAATGTTTTGACTTCCACCGTAAATTTATCACCATATCATGGTTTTTAGGCTCACATTGTTCACCTGAAATTAAGATCGTGCGCCTAATTTCCCAGATTTAAATTATTTGAAATCTAATTATAACATGAATAAATTCAGCCGGACCAGCCAACACATTTTAAAAATACCTCACACAATCACGAACAGGCCTGATTTCTACAGTAATTCGCAACATCTTCACCCGTAAGCTGGTACAGGGGTAATGTGACGGTAGTAGCCTTGTTTGAGGAGACTAACTAATTAACTTATACTAATTAACTAACTACGCTAATTTTAACCGAGCAGTTTCCTGGGTTTCAGAGACAAAGTGATGTGATGTAATAAACAGCAAGGGCCCTTGTACAAATATAGTGTACTCATACCATAAGAAACATTGCCTATTGGACACCTTACAGACACTGTATACTTATAGTGTGTACAGACGGTACCTTTTACGGTACCTTTTGAACATCTTTAAACTCGGCTCTTCGACCACCTACAATCCAAACGCTCGTTCAACTGTTTACTGTGTGATTGTCCCAAAGGATCAAAGAAGATCAAAGGGGCTCAAAAACAATCTAACACACACTCAAATATTCCGGCACATTATTAATGATTAATCATAATTGAAGAATAATTATGAGTTTTATGATAACGGCTACCATACTCAGACGATTTCGGAAGCATCAAATGGCCTACCATTTGAATCTATCGGCAAAAATACTCTACAAACTATATTTCTATGGTTACTTGAGTTGAGTACATAAAATATATTCTGTACATAAAATATATTCTGTGAAATAGAAGTCGCCACCACTATAATTTATAAACCGTCATTGTTATAAAGTATAAAATTATAGTTGTTTTCAGGGATAAGACATCTGGTTATTACCAGGGTAAACTTGTACAAAATGTAATACCAACAATGAATTATAAATTAAATAATTAGTGAACTAATTACCTTCACTGCCGAACACGTGTACGCTCTCACAGCTCCCAGTTCTAGCGAGGGATCCAGTCAGACGGTGTGGTATTGCTGATACTTGGACATCGTTCCTCATATCTGGAGGGGGCAGTTTTTTAGTTTATCTGTCAGTTTGTTAGTTTGAAAACATGGGTTGAAAATATCGTGTACAGTACTTCATGAGTAGTACAGTACTTCACAATGATAATCCGCCTCCCCAACCAAAACATTTAAGTTTGTTAGTTTGTGTGTTTGTTTGTTTGTGTGTTAGTTTGTGTGTTACACAGTTTTAAGTTTTTATTTATCAGTCTGTTTTTTACAACCTGTTTGCAAGGTGGGACAGACAAAATATCAAACCCTATACATGAAGATTGGAGTGTTCATGTATAAATTTAACTTAATAATGAACTTAATAATTATGTATAGAGTGTCCGTTATCAGATTAGTGGTGAAATATACAGGAGTACTGTAATACAGTACATTCTAGTTTCAAGTATGCCGACTTAAAGTGGTGCCTGAACGGTGGACACGTTTGGCAAATTAGAAAATTGGAAACTGTTAAAAAATTAGTGACGTTTAAACTTTAAAAGATGAAGTATCATGTACGTTCATAACAGGATCCTCGTGATAGCCTAGACAGAAAGCACGTGAGATTTATAAAACATTTCCTTGTGTTTGACTTACCAGATAATACTGTAGAAACACTCATCTTGTGGGGGACTGTTTTATCTCTAACGTTGAGATACCCGGGATTGGAGGATGTGTGGTATGAAGAGTCTCCCATTTCGAATAGTGGTGTGTCTCTGAATTCTCCTCCCAACTGAAAAGACACAGTGGTTAGTTTGAACAAAGGATCAGATTATTACAGCTTTCAAGCCGAAATTTCTTACATAGCATCAATTACTAAATAAAATTTCCCCTTTTTTACAGAAATATTCTTTGCTTTAAGTTCGAACGCTATTAATGATTATTTGAAAGGTTTTATTTAAAATAAATGTCCCGAATTTGAAGCTATACAGAAAATAAAATTTTCACACTGGCCTCTTTCTTTTTGTTTGTTCAACAAATTGCCGGACGATTTGTACATTTACAGCCTAATTTGAAGTATGAATGGTATGTGTCTGAATCTCTGTCTGTGCTATTCAGCGAGAGGTGTAATACTTCCATTCAACTCAGTCAAACACAATAAACTTAACAATGTTAACAAGATTCTAAACAACATTTGAGGTATTACGAAGTGCGGTATGTCAATCGGAATGAAATTACACACGAAATTGAGTAAAGAGTGTAACTTTAGATCGTATAAGATATTTGACGCAAACACTAGTAATAGCGTTTCTTCCTCATCTACTAATATAACCAGGGCCATAGTCCATACAGTACTAAAATTCCACACAGTTGGCATATTTTAATTTTTAGATGAAATCCTATCAACCAGCCTATAGTAACTCTGACATAAAGTATAACTATTCTTACCTCGTCAACAGAGTAAGGGGTATGTTTCGTGGTAACGTTTCTCTTTATTTCACTGAACCCTGACATTTCTTGTAATACTATGTCAATTTCTTTTTTTTCTATGTCACTGCTGTGATACCCACCGTCCCCGGTTATATTCTGTGAGGAACGGATTGTAGATTAGAGGGGATGATAAATTCAAAATATCGTCAAACAGTTACTCATCAAAGTTAATATATTCTGCTATTGTTCAGAAAGCGAATTTTCTCTTGCTGATTACAGGCGCCATGATAAGATATGTGCCTTGGTTTAAAGGTTTAGAGAGAGATGTCACACGTTGAATGCTGGTAGTACATTTGAAGAAGTAAGATTGGAAGTGGTTCAAAAATCGCCTTCACTGGGACTAATTCACGAAGATTCTAGGAAATAAAATAAATGATTCAGTTTAACTCTCGGTTCTAAAAATTTGAAGTTGCACAGAAGTCAGAAGGGTGGCCGTCTCATTTTTTATTATTTTTAAATTCAAAATCAAAGCTACAAAATAACAGCTTTTATTCGGGAGAATTCTGACATTTAATTTAATATTCGAAAATTCTAGAGAAAAAATGCGATAGCATATTTTAGTACGCCCCATGACATTTAGTTCCCAAATTTTACAGTTGAGTTCCAGGGTTGAACAGGTTCCCGATAAAGAGCTGATAATAAAAACTCTGTTCACGGTCCAAGGGATTTGGTGAAGTTTCATTGTAACCGCTTCAAGTTTTCATGGAAACGTTAAATGGGCCCACCAATTCCTTGATTTAATTTTCCGGAATATTTTTATTCTTATTTAATAGCAATAATGCTAAAATTTTAAAATTAGTTGGTGACACTGTACCCAATATTACGATTCTTTGAGTTGGTAAAAAAGCCATACAATTTCCAGAAATTTAACATTTCTAAAGATAAGATTTGAAACTTCATTCTATTACAACATCATGCGCGCACATTTTAAACAAAATATATTCCATACTTTTTCGAGGATTCCTTTATCAGTGCAAACAATACGCACAATTCCACGATATTTCAGAATCACTTTCACGGCATTTCTCCCAACATGCTCTCGTAACCATGACAACCACTCTTCACCATCTAATTAACTTTCCAGAACCTCTACGGACGCCCAACATAGAACTCCAGAACTACTTAACAGCACTGAATCAGATCTAGCGTGATTTAACAACTTTATCTAATTTCCATTAATTTGACACTCCATTCAATTCGATATAACGAAGTAGGCATGTATTATATTACGCCGTTTTCGGTGCAATGCAAGGAATGGTGCAGAGTTATTTCATTAAAATTTGGGTACCTATATTGTGATAATCCAGTCAAGAGACCTTTGGTTTTATTGATTGGCTATTAGATCAAACAAGCAATGCTGCCAAGAAGATTTGCTTTGTCAGTTGTGGTCAAATATTTGACCACAGATTAGTAGAAAAGGGGCGAAAAGATCTTACAAAACTTTGATGCTGTTGCAGGGCTGCACTGGCAAAAATTTAAGAATACACAACCTTGCAACAGCAATTAAAAAATTACTAGATCGTTTCTATTTTTGAAAATTTGGACGCTGCAAATGAAGAACAAAATTTACGATTGGAGTGACAAACGTAATGATGGTTGACTTCCTGTCTCGAACAAAGGTAAGCAATTGTTGAGGACTTGGTTGAATGATTTCACGCTTTCAGAAAGGCACAATTAATGTGTAGGTGCAAAGTGCTTTTGTATAGGTTATATGGGGTGTTTATTGGAGTTTCCAGCAGTTTTCGAACTCCCAAAATCAAGTTAAAAAAGGTGAGAATTGATCAGTTTAAAACTCTATTCAGATCTAATCTCCCAATTAAGGCGTCCATCAAATGTTAGGTTTTATGAAAAAGGTTTGCTTCACAACAAGATTCTGACCGTGAACATGGGAGTTCTGAGAGAGTCTCGTGTACTCTAGAGCTGATAACCTAGAGAAGGGCCAATGGAATAAGATTGTGGAAACTGGAACTTTCATGAAGGGTTCAAATTGGATTATTATGTTGCTCTAACCCTTTTTCCAGCCACTCAGGCAGACACGTTTAAGTTTTATCAGCTGACAGTAATTTTCGAATTTCCACATCTTAAATTTTAAACTGGACTATTATATATATATTCCCGACATTCAAGAATCTAAGTTTTTAGATGTTTCCCATAGAAGCAGAACGATTTTTTGCTTGCTTGAATATCAAAAATATTCCTAAAAAACTTCTCAATCTCCTCAGAAAATAAACAGAGAAACCCAACTCACCCGGCCATCTTTATCAGTGTAAGCAGTAGGATTGACGTAAGTAAGATCCTTAGAACCAGACTTAGCCTTCCTCCGCCTCATCACAATGAAGATACACACTAATATCAGAATGATGAGAAGCAGACCACCTCCTGCTGCCGCTCCAATTATTACCACCTGGGAGATGTTCTGTACAGCTGTTAGATTGGGAATAAACATGACTTAATAATGGTTTGGAGGTTTGTCGTCTATGAGGCATGATAATATGACAGTAAATAATAGATAAAACACTTATTATGGCCTTATAATAGGCTCGTAAACGCTGGTAAATGAGAAATGAACGGCATATTATTTTCACAGAAATTGCTAAATTTCTAAATCCAAGGAATATTTGACGATATCATCCTAACTAACCTGGTCAAATTATTTTCAATCAAAGAAATTGCTAAATTTCTAAATCCATAGAATTTGCGGATATTGGGTCCCACTAACCTGGTCATTGCCACCTGTGTAAGGATACACACTGATATCCACAGCAGCTCTAGCAGACAAGTGCTCCTCCTCCTCAGACGGACTATCTCTCACTTCTACTTCTAGTCGCACTGTGTGGAATACTGACCCTGCAACGGTTTTATAGTACAGTTTCAGCTCTTACTGGTGGTGAAATGGCTTCAAATCAATACCACAATAGTGCACTAGGTACTGTGCACTAGGTACTATGTACTGTGCACTAGGTACTATGTACTGTGCACTAGGTACTGTGCCCTAGGTACTGTGCACTAGGTACTGTGCACTAGGTACTGTGCACTAGGTACTGTGCACTAGGTACTGTGCACTAGGTACTGTGCACTAGGTACTGTGCACTAGGTACTGTGCACTAGGTACTGTGCACTAGGTACTGTGCTAGGAACCGACCGGAAATCCGGCTGAATCCGGTTCCGGCCGGATATCCGGCTTCAAAATCCGGTTCCGGTTCCGGCTCCGGCTGGATTTTTGCCGGATTTCAGTTTTTTTACCGAAAAAAAAATCAAAAAAATATTTTCGGCTAATAATGAACAGGGTAGCCTGAATCGTGGAAAAAAAGTGGTTTTCAGAAAAACTTTAAAAAAATTTTGACTTAGAAGTTTTTCGGTCCGAGTCGTTCTCGAGACGTACCTCCTGTATCGAGAGCTCCCGCTTCCGAGCTCGTGTTGCAAAGGGGAGGCCTGCCTTCCAAGATCACATTACCGGGGGAAACCTCGAGTCCAGAATTGTGTATCGATGGGTAGGTGCGGACTTCGAAAAACCGAAAAAATATTTTCGGCTAATAATGAACAGGGTAGCCTGAATCGTGGAAAAAAAGTGGTTTTCAGAAAAACTTTAAAAAAATTTTGACTTAAAAGTTTTTCGGTCCGAGTCGTTCTCGAGACGTACCTCCTGTATCGAGAGCTCCCGCTTCCGAGCTCGTGTTGCAAAGGGGAGGCCTGCCTTCCAAGATCACATTACCGGGGGAAACCTCGAGTCCAGAATTGTGTATCGATGGGTAGGTGCGGACTTCGAAAAACCGAAAAAATATTTTCGGCTAATAATGAACAGGGTAGCCTGAATCGTGGAAAAAAGTGGTTTTCAGAAAAACTTCGAAAAATTTTAACTTGAAAGTTTTCGGTCCGAGTCGTTCTCGAGACGTACAGCTCCTGTATCGAGAGCTCCCGCTTCCGAGCTCGTGTTGCAAAGGGGAGGCCTGCCTTCCGAGATCGCAAGGAAATTTTCCGGCAACATCCGGCAAAAACCGGCAAAATCCGGCTGCCTTTATTTCACTCTGAAACCACCGGTTCCGGTCCGGCAAAATCCGGCTTGCCGGATTTGAGATCCAAATCCGGCTGAATCCGGTCCGGCAGCCAAAACCCCAATCCGGTCGGTTCCTATAATAACTGTGCACTAGGTACTGTGCACTAGGTACTGTGCACTAGGTACTGTGCACTAGGTACTGTGCACTAGGTACTGTGCACTAGGTACTGTGCACTAGGTACTGTGCACTAGGTACTGTGCACTAGGTACTGTGCACTAGGTACTGTGCACTAGGTACTGTGCACTAGGTACTGTGTACTAGGTACTGTGCACTAGGTACTGTGCACTAGGTACTGTGCACTAGGTACTGTGCACTAGGTACTGTGCACTAGGTACTGTACACTAGGTACGGTGCACTAGGTACGGTGCACTAGGTACTGTGCACTAAGTACTGTGTATTAAGTACTGTGCACTATATGCTCTGGATTATGTACACAGCAGAGTCTTACTGGTACAAAACGGATTTATATCAGTACTACGTATTACGTGTAGGAGGCATGCATATTTGCATATATTTGCATATATTTGCATATATTTGCATATATAGCAGGTTAGGTAGACTCTTTTTCTGTAAGACTTCTCGAATGAGGGTGAACCCACGTCGAAATCAGAATGCACGGTGAGAGGTGGCGTATGCAACAGACGTAGCGGATAGCCTAAAGTCGCTTTCACAAGTAACAGCTAATTACGAATATAATGACTTTTTCACTAATTCAAAAGTAAGTATGAGGACAAACCCACACAGAATTTAGACATGCTGTCTATAATTAAACATGTTGTCTAGTACGGTCATGTCTAGAAAATCATCAATTTCAAATTCAATCATTGGCTAACCATCTCAATTCAGTTCTGAACTCCACCATCATTACATATTACAAAAAATTGTGTTACCGAACTTTTAGGTAAATTGGTTGCGCAAGGATTTAAGTTAGCTGCTTTGCGCAACAAGTTTGTCAAGTTTTATAAATCAAGATTAAATATTTGGGGTAAATATGGTAGTGATATTTATGATGAATTTATTGAAATGTTTCAATCACCTAATATTATTTTGTAATTTGTATCGACATATATCGTTTTTCAGTTATATTAGTTACCTAATATCTATTAATTATTCTAGTATTTGTGATTAATTTGTATTGATTTATTATTTGTGACTTATAAATTAGTAACCATTATTTTACCGTCTAAAAATTTTTTTTTTGTCAAAAATTAATTTTATGAAGGAGTAAGTTGACAAAAGATGCGCATTCGTATATTCATTTATTGCATGTTTAATTTGTTTTTTGTGTTTAATTTACGATTATTTGCATTTGAGATTCTGCGATTAAATTTATTTTGTTGATTGTAATGTTGTGATATTGCATAATTTATTGTAAATGTAATATATGTTTCAGAAAATTATGTAATGTAATGCGATGGAGGTTCTTTAAGCAGGCAATTCCAGTCCAAACCCTGGAAACATGACATAAAGGATTTGTTTTACTTGTTGCATGAAAAGCACTAATAGATATGAAGAAGCGTATATATACCTAGAAATATGAATCAATATCAAGAACCATTGGGAGCGGCCTCTGTTTTGAGAATTAGAAGAGGAAAAGTCAGCACCAAGTTCAGTATTTTTACACTAGACGGCTGATGACGCTGGATTTACGAGGTATTATAGTACACGGAGCACTAATCCAAGTACTACAGCACGTTTTTTCATGATGAGTATTTTAAAGTCGTTTAATAGATCGAACACGTAGGTTTGAGTTTGTATGCGGTTTTCATTGTTATTTTTTCCTAGCAATTATTTGCGGTCCATTATCATGGGTGTCCTATACATCTAAATCTGAATATGATGAGATTTACCAGATTCGTCGACACTTCTTTTGGAAGAAGCATCCTCGTCCAAACTGCGTTTCCTTCTGCTGTCCTCATTCTGTTGTTTCACTCGCATGATCTCTCCAGTGCTGCGCTTTATCCTCCAACCTGAAATTAAAGGCGTTTAGCAATATCAATAAAAATCAATCGTAATATGGCTGGCTGGCAGCTGCTGAACGATTTATTTGAACGATGGTTCAAATTTAAACTCATCCTTGCATGCAACGAAACGATTGTAATATTTTATTCATTGTAACTAAACAAATTGTGCAGGTAGCCATGTTGCGGGTTCTCCTGACAGTGGCTCTCCTCTCGGTGGTAGCGAGTAAGGTATCGAACAAGGAATGGGAGCACTTCGAAGGTGCCACAGATGAGTCTCTAATTCTGGGGCACCCTGCGGCAATCAATGCAAAGAAGATGGCCACCCTAATGCAGAGGCAGGGAGTTGTTTCAACCTGTCGCTACATTCTTTTCAAGGCTAAGAAGAATTTCTGGGATGCCAGAGATGCATGCAAGTCTGTTGAGTGGCCTTTCAGTCACACGGGAGCTTGGCTGGCCGATGTCCATAACATGGATGAGAACATGGATATCAGAATTTTACTGCAGTTAGCCAATGGAATACATAACGAGGGATCACATTTCGACCGTGCCAACTGGGCATGGATCGGCCTGGAGAAGACGCAGAACAACGACTTCATGTTGGAAACAGAGGACCGTGGAGAAGAAGGCTTTAAACCAGAAGAGTGGGAATGGCAAGATGGAACTCACCCCAACTTTACACATTGGATGAGAAACCAGCCGGACCAGGAGTACAAAAGACCCTACAAGGATTACCAAAGGTTTGTCATGGTCAACAAGAGGGGACGATGGGATGACACTTTTGGACAAATGGAGGCACCTTATGTCTGTAACTACTGTGGAAGGTACATCGTCATAGCTGAACATGTTACTTGGTATCATGCCAAGGATCTGTGCGAGTCGTACGGTTTGACCATGGCCATTGTAGACAGCAAAGAAGACAACATTGAGCTGGGATGGGCAGCCAACACCACCTTCGGACCTATACCAGAAGATCAGAGATGGGATGATAACAACTGGATCTGGCTGGGCACCCAGGAAGTGATGGATGATGCTGAGGTCGGGACAGGAGAGTGGATCCACCACAATGGAGATGACATGAAGTGGGCACCCAAATGGGACAGAAAGAGGCAACCCGACAACAGGGTGAGGAAGAAAGGTGAGCAAGCAGTGGTGGCTTTCTCTAGACTTAACTGGAGGTGGGACGACTCTTTCGCTTGGAGGAAACGACCTTTTGCTTGCATGTGCCCTCATAGAGCTTGCAGCTACGATCATGTCTGGAAAGGTGGTCCAGGTAGCGGCGAAGATGGTCCTCGTAAGTTGAAAAAAGAAAAGGCTCCTGATAGCCTTTAAGATTTTAGACTGAAGTAGAATATGGACTTTGAATTGAAACTTTTGTGATGGAATCATCTAATAAAATTAAGCCAGTAAGATGCATGGAATCTAGAATGTTAAATAAAATATCAAAGTTAACTCTCTGATGAAATTTTGTTTTTATTTGTAAATTGAACTAGAAGCTAAATATCTTTTTGTTGCTGTCCTATAATAAGTTTTATAAAGTTTTGGACACAAACATGTATTTCAATAAGTATAACAACTAGCAGGTCAATTCTACCATTTTTTCTTCTCGACACTCCCTGGTGTCCTTACTTAACAAAATATCCCTTATTCCTCCCCCTCCTCACCCTTGAAAAAGTGAATAAAAATGTCATGTCTGTATCATCTACAACATTGGCAATGATCGCTCCGAAAAATAGCCCATCCCGATTCAGCTAGAATAAGATGCGGCTATCTTTACACAAGCCTTTCGAACGAGGTCAAAAGGAAATCGCGGCACGTGCAGAATCGCGATTTTGCCCATTCCCTGCGACAAATCGCGATTTTTGACGTTTGCCGAGACAAACAGATCTTCGCGACAAATTGCGAATATTCCAGTTCTCTGAGGACCAAATTTGCGCATTCTCCTTTAAATCCGAGGGCCAAATATCACGTTCTTTATAATTATGGAACTAATCACATCCAAAGCCTTCCGAATGTAGGTACGGACCGAAAAAGTATTTTTGGCTTATAATGCTCAGGGAAGCATGAGACATAAACAAAAGTAGTTTCCAGAAAAGCTTTGAAAATAATTTCGATTTAGAAATTTTCGGTCCGAGTCATTCTCGATGGGTACAAGGAAAGTGCCTCAATATGTAAGTTACTCCCCTTGTTTCTATATAATAAACATAACTTTTATAATAATTCTTACGTACGGTAATAATTATAATAATTTTATATTATCACTAGAAGCCGCACAGACCTACTATCTACACACAAACCGACTAGTATTTTTCATTACCCTAACCCTATGAACCAGTGCATCCCTTATTCATAATTCGAGTAACAACATCATGAAGAAGAGTCTGTTTAGATCTTAACACTTAAGATTATTAATATAGATGCTATTGTTTTGCCTAACGAGCCTGTCGCTCCCTAATCTATCTATACTAACAAGCTAGTTAACAAATTTATGACATCTAACTTAATGCTCTGCAAATACATTATCTTTCGCCGCAAATTCACCGCGATTTTGCCTAGTTTGACTTGTCGCGGCGCCGCGATTTTTGGCCTAAATAATCGCGATTTTTTTGTCCTTGCTTTCGAACGACTCTACTGATGACTCTAACATGGAGGTTGCAGCCCCACAAGAACCAACTGACCTGTTTCTGGACCTTTGCAAGTCTTACGTGCAAACAAACTGGGATGATGTCCATCACAACTCAATTAGCACTGGATGCGACTTAAGACAATAATTCATATGAACCCTACCTGCAGAGTGCAGGGGTCCACATGAACCAACAGACCTCCGATCTGTTTCCGGACCGTACCAAGTTTAATGTACATCTGGAACGATGTCTCACTTCACCTGTCTACCCCCTCCCCTCCTTACCATACCCAGCCATGTCGGCGCCATAGGCCTACAAAGGCCTTAGTCTACCACTACAATTTATAAGATGATAATATTATGTTGAACTAGAGAAATTTAAATTACTATTTACATGTTACTAGGCCTTTGCAACAGTTTCTTAAATAGAGGCCCCTCTAGCTCCAACTCCAAGACTTTTACAGTTTATTTGATGAGGCACACCGGTCTTGTTCAAGCTCGCTTAATGATATTCACATTGATGTTCTGTTTAAGCATTGATTATTGCAATTCATTACAATCTCGCTACTAAGGAGATAAACTGGCTTAAAAGTCTTCTAAGAATATGATCATACTCAAGCAAAATAGTTTGTGAAATCTTGGACCAAGATATAACTTTAAGAGCCAAATTATGAGTGCTTTAAGACTTTGATGTTTTAGCTTATGAATATAAGCATAATAAAGCTATAAAATAATATCATCCTCATATTATAATTATAATACAAATATTCCAATAACTATTAACAAGTCTCTAGGCTTGTGGTGAGAATTACATAATTATTAAAGCCTTCGCATTCAACTCAGGTCAGTTTAGCGGCTAATTTGATGAGGCCAAAACTTAACCATTAACAATAAGTCCGTAGACTCATATTTTTTATTTGAATTGATAATTGTAGTCTATTCTACATTTAATTATACATATTCTGCACATTTGGTAGTAGCAGTGCCGTTATTTTTTGCTACCGTAATCACACATTCTAAATGCACTGGCTCTCTGCAAGTTGAAAAATGAAAACTTTGTAACTTTGGTACTGTGACTACGTTCGTTTAATTCTGATAAATTCAATCGAGTTCTCAATGATTATCATGGAACATTCGTTGGGGCTCGAACTTCCCCCGTTTTTAAGGTTAATGCCTGCAGGTGATTGGATTTCACAGTTGATTGATTTTCCGACTTCTACGAGGTCTAAGCCTCCAATATGCGTGTTCAATCGAAATAGAAATAATTTATTGTACAGCAGCATGATGAACTATAGATTGTTTCAAAACACGCATCTTTGCTACAGTCGCAACAAAAGTGAACGTTAACTCAACTTCTGATGAATTTTGTCCAACTTAGTAGATCAGATTTCTAGAATCGTCAATCACGATGTAGCTGTGCGTAATAAAGTAATAAGTTTGAAGGGTAGTGGAGCATGGAATGGCGACATGATGAATTTTCAAGGCTGTGTAATATTCAACTATGAATCCTCGGTGTGTTAGTGAAATGTGTTGGATCAGTGATATTAGAACAAAACTATTTCAAACTATTCAAACTTGGCCGGTATTTTATTACATATATTATCACCAATCTTAAGAGGTGCTTTTTCGAAAAATCAAAAGATAGATATTACAGCACCGTTAATATCTAAATATCGAATCACCCATTTAACAAATTATCCAGGTAGCCATGATTCGGGTTCTCCTGACAGTGGCTGTTCTCTCTGTGGTAGTCTGGGGTAAGAAAACAAATTTAGAATGGGAACAGTTTGAAGGATCCACTGACGAAGATTCCATTGCGGAACATCCTGCTTACATCAACGCAAAGAAGATGTCTCATCTCATGAAAAGACAGGGAGTGGTGTCCACATGCCGATATATCCTCTTCAAAGAAAAGAAGAACTTCTGGGATTCAAGAGATTCCTGCAAGCAGCTGGATTGGCCGTTCACCAACAATGGAGCTTGGCTGGCCGACGTCCATAACATGGAAGAGAACATGGATATCAAAATATTGCTGCAGCTTGCGTACGGAATAAAAGATGTAGAACATAATTACCATCGGGAGAACTGGGCATGGATTGGGCTGGAAAAGATGGAGAACAATTCCTTTATGCTTGCAAAAGACGAACGCGGACCGAAGAACTTCAACCCAGAAGAGTGGCAATGGCAAGATGGAACTCACCCCAACTTTACACATTGGATGAGAGACATGCCAGATCAGGAGTACAAAAGACCCTACAAGGATTACCAAAGGTTTGTCATGGTCAACAAGAGGGGACGATGGGATGACACTTTCGGACAAATGGAAGCACCTTATGTTTGCAACTACTGTGGAAGATACATCGTCATAGCCGAGCATGTTACCTGG